ACAATACGGGGTCATACTGATCTTTGCGTCTTTCTCTGAAATAATTATTTCTTTGTTAAAACATATTTGACCACATATTTCTGTCAATTAACTGTTCACTTTACTTCCGATTTTTGTTGTACGGAAACACATGTTTCTATTTGTGTTTTCTAATCAATTCGAATCTATAATCAGTTTAATGGGATCACCACCGGGTAAACGACTACTAGGTACTTTGGTCATGTTTTTTACCCCAAATATTTGAATGTTTCTATTGGGATTAAAATGAGCATAGTTAAGTAAACAACTGGTTGTATAAATCCCTGACCTGTCTAATTCTAATTATGAAATCAGTGAATATATAAGACTTTCACTACAAAATATTCCTAAACAAAAGAGCACATGTTTAAATTTATTCCTATACAAATAAAAGATCAGAGTAGGGATCTGTCAATTGCCAAATATACTTTTATGTTAAAAGTTTGATTAATGAATTATGTAAGATGAAAATATAAGTATTGCTTTTTTTATTTTGCTAATGTAAAATGTAATATTGTGCTGGAATTTTGTCGGAAGGTCCTTATAGGAGTTTTGTAGTTAAATAGTTTTTTTTTCGGCGATAATGGTTCAAGAATATAATGTTTCAAACTATATGCTCATCACCATCAGTGAATTTTTAGTTAAATGTATGCAAAATATTTACTAACAGCTATATGATATAGCGGTTTATGACCGTTTTCCGCGTACAGCCTCCTGGGGTGTACTAATAAGTTAGTTTTCCTTAGTTATCACGCAAGCATGATCCATGTCTCTGATGTAAGCGACAGTTTACAATTATTTGTCTTTAAAAAATATTAAGGACTTTTAATGGTTTATAACAACAAAAGAACATGCATGATATTGAGAATACAACATTGTACGGTCTCAAATATCGTCAGTAAGACCGGTGTACACAATGGAGAATACGGTGTTGGAACGTTCTAGTTAATGACCCGTCATAAACAGTTGGTCGCTGCGTAGTAATGGGAAAATTGTTATCAAAAATAATAAAGAATATTTGCCACTAAATTAAAGCATTTACTTATAAATTTTCATTTATGCTTTTTGTTAAAAAAATATTGATAAAGTTATTATTTTGAAGGGTTTTCATACCAGAACTATTTATTACAGACGTACGTATGCCTAAACCTGATTACCGCGGCAGTATGACGTCACGGAGTAGTGATTTAAACAAAAATCAAGAATTTTTCAGAGAATTATTATCTTTACAAATTGCAGATATGAAATTAAAGAATGAAAATATTTTCATATTGTAAATGTCTGTGATGAGTGATGAGTCAGCTTAGAAAAAATCAAGGTACTATTTTTTGACCTGATTACCGCGGCAGTAAGATTTGACGAACAGTTATTAACATTGGGTCGGCATAGCCTCCCCAAAAACGAAAAAATGACAAAGTAGATGTGTTGGCTAAGAAATCATAAAATTCTCAACCAGTAGATTTATCGTTACCAAATAGTTATTTTAAACCCTCAATAATTATACTCATTTCTTCTGAATGTAATTCGAATTGCGTCAAAGCTGTATTTAACAAAATTCATGATATCAACCCTTGTCTTGATAAATCACCTTAACCGTCATGATTAAGTTGTTTTTCTTAGTTGTAGAATTGGGCATACTAGAATTACACATTCTTTCTTTTTAACAGGAGACGGTGCTGCATTTTTTATAGCTTGCAATGAATATTTTACTGTCAAACATTTTCTGTCTTGAATGCAATGATCTTGCATATATTCGCAATAGACTTTATCGAGCCAATAGACTTTTTCTAAGCATGACCTGCTCATGGCGAGATATTGTGATCCCCGTCCATCCGTTGTCGTGTTGTGAGTTGTCGACTAAAACCAGTGACTGCGTATTAACCAAACTTTTCAGGAATGAAACTTGTATGATCTCCTCTCAAATTTGTTCAAATAGTTCTGATGGGTTGTATAAGTGGGTTACAGGGCCAGAAAAGAAGTTTAAAAATACAAATTAAAAAAATTCCTTGTACCCAGATTGTAAGTAAAGGTCATCTACTAAAGCTGTTCCAATGTTGCATCCAGTATCAAAATTGTCTCCACGGGGATCATAGGTTTTCCTTTTATATATATGAAGTAAAAACCCAAAACATTTTCTCTGTTATTACAAAAGCTAATAACATGTTAATTTGTGATCTTCTTTCTTTCCATACTTAAAAATCTTATTATAATGCATACAGTTGCAAACATAAAGCCCCGGCTAACAAATTTATGCCCAATTTTTCAAATGTCCTAGGGTTCTTCTGATAATTCTGAAGATGTCCTCGAGTTCTTCTGGTCCTCTGATATATTTTATTACTGTCAGTGTGTTTTTTGTGCTAAGATACGGCACGTTTTAGCGTTTAATATTTATATCAACACCTGACAAGTTATTATAAGAACTCTGTCAACAGTGTAATAGTTCCTCTCCCGTGTTTCACGATGACTCCATATGTTCGTTTGTTATCAGTGTTTTATTAAAACGTCATATTTCCTTTCAGGATTAGTTTTATAAAAATTATAACAAATTATTTTAATATTCTTTAGTATTTATGGACTTTTAAAGATATAAAGATAAGAAATTTCCAACCGACGTAATTAACGTGTAATTAATAAGAGACACTATTTAGAATTGTTAAAGAAAGGCATTATTTACTTTAACATAACCAACAAAGTAGATACAACCTTATCAAAGAGCACACCTGTAAAATGCGAACAAATCCGGACGAATAAGAAATATACATTGATGACGACACTTGTTCAATTTATATAATGATATACTTGTATTTTCATTTAAAAACGAAAAGTTATATTCATTTTATTAAGTCGGGTTTACAAGATTCGAAGGGCTCTTGAAGCTGCACGCCTCCAGATAAGCGAAAATATTTCGATAAAATCAAACCTGAGAAAAATGTACTAAGATTTTAGGAAAGTGTATAAAGATTCAAAATTCTAGTAATAATTTACATGTTATGTGCGATCAATGACCGACTTTTCAGTATTTATAACTATATTTCTACTGCATTACTAACGCAGTTAGGGCTATTTTTTGCATATTTTGAACTCTTTATGGTAATTTACGTGGGTTGTAAGTGCCATTGGTAATGTGTAAATTGCGTTCTTTTGGTAACCTAACAATATTTTACTGTTAAAAACATTTTTAATTTTTTATAAAAATTAGCATGAATCTGGAGGCGTGCTGCTTTAAAGCCGACATATAATTACATAACATGATAACAATATTTATAGACTGTAAAACACATGTAAAATAACATTAATATTTCAAATATTGTTCATGAAGTATAAGGAAATAAAAATAGACGTGGAATAACAACAACAACAACAAAATCTTTGTTACAAGTACTCGTTAAAGATAAGAATATTATATTGCAAAACAGGTTCACACGAAATGTTACTTGGATAAAAACATTAAGTAATTAATAAGGCAGAAACTGTTAATAAAAGTGTTTTTTTCTGCGGGCTCCAAATTCTGCGGTTTTTCCAAACTTTGCCATGTTTTTATTTCTGCGGCACATTCTTTGAACAAAACGTGATTTAAATTCTGCTACTATTCTTATCAAAGTCTACTTAAGACACACATTACTCTACTTATTTTATTTGCATGTTCACATTCGGATTTGTTCATCGTCGTCACTACAAAACTGTATAGTAATTACAAACAAATATAACGCGCAACAATAGAAAACTATGCACCTTTTCATCAGCGTGAAATGACATGTTAAAAATACCGTACCGGCAAACACAATATATAATGTTTAAATATCTTTATTCATAAATTGGCATTTTTAACAATTAGTACATCCTTACAAACACAGACACAGCAATTTAATACAATTTGATGACCCGCTAACCGTTATAAACTGTTAGTCCTTATTACTTTAGACGAAACAGGACACATATCGTAACAGGTTTAAAACAAAACATGGAGAAATATTCTGCGGTTTTTATTTCTGCGGTGATGAAACTGACCGCAGAATACGCAGAAATAAAGTCACCGCAGAAGAAAACCACTTATACGGTATATGAATATAGCAACCTGGATAATAGCCTTAGGTAGTAAGATATAATAATTTACTCGACAAACAGTCTGTGCTGGTTCAAATTATTGTTCATTTAAAATTTAAAAGAGAAAAACCAAGACAGAAATATCAATAATAATATTTAATTAGGTTAATAAATGATCACGAATTATCACTAGATAACTGCAAATTTGGTCAACACTAATAAACTATAGAATGATATATTAATCAATCCACAAAGAATTACTAATCATTATAAATATTTACCAAAACGCAGTGCTAAAATAACTAAATGCAATAAAAACTTATTGCTAAACCAAATGGGCTAGGGTGGGTGGGCAAAAAAGACTAGAACGTGATCTCGACTACAAAATAAGTAACAGAATGCAGTAACCGTATTTTTAAAAAAACCTCTTAGCAGAAACAAGGAATTTTCCCCCTTATTGAAAAAAAACCTGGGAAATTTAAAAAATTTTCCCAAAAAATTTTTTTAATATTAAATTTTTTTTTTAAAAAAAAATTGATTGAATTTTTTCAAAGGGTAAGATTAAAAAATTTTAAGATCATTTAGGGATAATGTTCATTTACAGATAATATAAAAAAAGAAAAATCGGAAAAACCTAGGCCAGTTTTTAACGAAAACACCTTTAAAAATTAATTGGCCCTTTAAAAAAAATTCCTTCCGCCTTTTTTCCCCCCAATTTAAAAATTAACCCCATTTTTAATAAAACAATTTTTCCTTTTTTTGAAAAGAAAAAAACAAAAATTTAATTTTTTTCTTCAAATTTTCTTAATGGTTAGGTCGCCATTCCGGGTTCGGGTAGAAAAATTTTTTTTCGGTGTTTTAAAAATTTTAAATTAAATCCCAAATTTTGGTTTTTCCCGTGAAAGAAAAGTATTTAAATGATATTTTTAAACAATTTAAATTAAAAACAGTGGACAAAATCAGACGACTGTATAAATGTATAAACAAGTTTTGTTTATTTATAATAGCAAAGCACGAGACGAGTTTTACGGGTTTGAAACACATTTACCAACTTCGATAAATGGATAAGACTGTAAAGGTAAAAACTTTTGAACTTTATGCACACTTATATATATATTGCATATAAGTGTTACAGTAAAATGTAAAATTGTTAAATCTTCTATATCTATATCTACAGGTAAACGTAAAACTATCAATTACTATTATTTTCTATTCCCATTAAATAATTCATAAGCTTTCCGCTACTAGTATTTCACCACTTTTTCCGTGACAAGAAACACTTCTTAAAAGTTTATTGAAACATATGATATGGTTTTATTTCTTTGTGCGAGACTAAACAGGAATGTGTGTTTTTTTATATATTTTATTTATCTAACAAGAATTTCGCTTATTCATAATTTTTTATACCTAGAGCAGATAAGTATTCAGTGAACTAAAACATTCGTTGTATATATTATTATTTTTAAACCTTGTGGGAAGGTTTGTACACGTATGAAAGTCATATGCTAGTACAGATAACTATAAAAATTGTATATGTGTCATTATATTTAACATAAATATAATGTTATTATAATGACTACCATTGTTATCTTTGACAGTTTATCTGTAATATACTAACCCAACTGTTTTCATCTGTAGTACAGAATAAATAATTCTTAACCAAAAATAAATGACCAAGAGTCAACTTTAGAATGCATTTTTTATTATAGAAGTTTTTCATTGCTTGAACTTGCATTTTTATTGTTACATTTTAGAATAAGCTGGTATGAATGTAGATATATATGATACAGAAGAATAAGATGGGGATTCCCACATTGCTGCCCTTGCTTTCTATAGCTGTGCTACACATAACAGATGTGAAAAGTTCAGAAATAAGTCTAACAACTAAAATCGGAAGTTTAAACGGCATAATTGAAAATGTGGAATTAAACGGTGACACTAAAAATGTATCTCAATTTCTTGGTATTCCATTTGCAAAGCCACCAATCGGTGAAAGACGATTTCTCAGACCTGAAGCTTACGGCACATTAGCATCGCCATATAATGCCACGTTCTTCAGGCCACACTGCATGCAGAGTGCAGTTTTGAATCCGTCTATCAAATACTTTCAAATGAGCGAAGATTGTTTGCATTTGAATGTTTTCATTCCCGGTAATACAGTGTCGTCTGATACGAAGTATGCAGTGATGATATTTATACATGGCGGTGGATTTACGTACAGCGGTTCGGAAATATTTTCGGGTGACAAACTGAGTGCATTTAACAACGTTGTTGTTGTGACAATAAACTATCGTCTGAATACTTTTGGATTTTTAAGTAACGGCACAAAATCCTCTGGTAATTTGGGCCTGTGGGATCAAAGACTCGCACTCCAATGGGTTCACAAAAACATTGCAGACTTTGGTGGGGACCCAGAGAAAGTCACTTTATTTGGTAATTCAGCAGGTGCGGCCAGTGTTTTGTATCAAGTTATGAATCCTACAAACAAAGGACTGTTCCGGCGGATTATAACGCAGAGTGGCTCAGTAGCGGCTCAATGGGCACGGCAATATAATCCGGCTGAAAAGTTTAAACAATTTATTTCAGAAATCAAATGTGACAGAGACAAATACGATGACATTCTTGTTTGCCTTCAATCAAAGGAAGCTGCAGATCTGGTAACAACCCGTTTCACTCCAGTAGTAGACAACGATTTCGTCATGGAAGACCCTGTTGCAAAATTTTCTAAACAAGGTAATGGCATACCTGTAGACTTGGATTTCTTTTCCGAGGTTGACTTTCTATCTGGAGTACAGAGTAAAGATGGTGCATTAGATATAAATAGGAGAGCGGAACAATATAAAAAGTTTGGTATAGACTTACCAAACGGGGTACCACGAAGTGCTTTTGAAAGTAAGATTGTCCCGTCATTGCTGTCCGAAGTATATGGTTCTACAGAACCACCAGTTTTGAAACAAGCCGTCATACAGCAATACATCGACTGGTCTAAACCTGATGATGCTACGTTAATAAGAGACAAAATCGTCGACTTTTTGTCGGACGTCTATTTCTTTGTACCTGCTATAAAAGTACTGAAGAAACACCGATCGGTGAGGAAAACTAACAAAACGTCATATTTTTATGTCTTTGATCATAAACCGTCATTGGACTTCACAAATCTTTGGTTGAAAGGTTCAAACCATGCCATGGAGTTACCTTATGTATTCGGACTTCCAGATGCCATGAAAGTTGCGGCAGGTTTGCCTCCGGGTTCGCCAATAACACTTCCCCCGGCTGAAATGAAACTTTCTAGTGTCGTCATGAAATTGTGGACCAACTTTGCAAAAACAGGGTAATGTAACTGACTTTGTTGTTTGTTTTGATTAGATAGCTGATAATAAGTATTAAATTTAAGTAGCTTGTAACAACGTGCATCCGATATTTATATATAATAAATATGTACTACTAGTGTGCAAAAACAAAATTTAACCATTGCAAAAATATAATTAAGTTTTGCAATTAATTCATAGTTGTTGATCAATCTGTTAACATCTTTCAAAGATTTTTATTTTTACATGAAAGTTATGCCATTCAGTAATAAATAATTCAGATTGTTTTTCTTTTTCTTTCAGTAATCCAAACTTACCGACGAAGGATGACGTCCAAGAAGTGCCCTCTTGGCCACAGTATGATGTCAATTCGCAGTCCTATTTGGAGTTTTCGTTAAATATGACGGCAGAGTCCGTGAAAAACCACTTTTCTGGATCAAGGATAGAATTCTGGACAACTCTTGTTCCGTTGTTAGAGAATTGTAACACATGCGGCGATCAGAATTGCTCTGACTCTCGGCAGACTTCACAAGCACATTCTTTATCAAAACTCGCTTCAGTACATGTAGCTATCTTACTGTTTGTCCAAATGTTCATATGTATGATGAATTTTATGTAGTTTTTGTTTGTCTTCACTATTTCCCCTGTTGTTCCCTTTTAGATGACTCTCCTTCTTCTTCTTCTTCTTCTTCTTCTTCTTCTTATTATTATTATTATTATTATTATTATCATTATTATTTTTATTATTATTACTAGTATTATTATTATTATTATTATTATTATTCAAACATTTAGTCACTTCGCTATAGTTTTATTATACCTAGACCAGAATAAAACAAATGTGTTGAAGGTAATGTTTGTCGAAAGACTTAAGAAAAGGATCATTCGGCCAGATGTAGACTATATGCATTAACAATATAAATTGAAAGGACATTATCAGTAGAAAATTCGACAATTACTTTACTCTTTAATTTTTAAGGTATTTCTTTAAATCATAAAAAGTTTGCCATGTTTGGTAATTTGTTAAATTAATGTATAAGTAAAGATGAACTATAATATGAAAAAAACATATTTCTCCATAAAAATGTGTGTATGAACCAACAAATTCGTTACATTTCTGGTGCCATGATTTGTTATCTGTATTTCTGTAATGTCATTCTAACGATATAACCACGAACTTTTTTATTTGTGCATTTATTGCTATTACAATTAATAAAAAGTGTGTTGTCTGAATACACGTCTTGACATTTTGAAAAGTTTGACTTTTATAATAATAGAAATACACTTTATTTATAGAAATGATGCCTTAAATCTACAAATGTGTTTTCAAACCTGTATGTTATCATACATATCAGTAATTAAATAAAATACAACATACCTTATCGTTGTAGGAGGGTATGAGCTGCTTATGAAATATAAAAATCAACAATTTTCTCTTTAAAAGTACAAACTGTAATTGTTTTAGCAAACAAAAATGATAAATAATGATAAAACACAATAAACTGTCGACAATAATTTATTTACATCTATTTTGTTTACATTATTGTTTTCCTCTCAAATATTCTTCAAGATATTTTACTAAAATATTAAAAGACTCTGTTTGGTGACTTTCATCAATGATTCAGTAATATTTGTTATTTATATCATGATTTTACACTCTATATGAAGAGTATGTAAAGGCGTCATAAAGAACTGAATAATGTCATAATCTACAGGTAATATTTAGCATTCGACTCCTCTTAAGTAAACATATTTTAATGACGGTTATTTCACTGTATAGTAAACATTGATCTCTCAAGCCACTTATTTTGATGTCCTCTTAAATTTCGCATTTTTGAGCGAAAACATTTTGTAGATACAATCGTATTTTAACAATATCATTCTTCATGACGATCTTTATAAATATAAATGAAACATATTTTTAAAGTGCATGCACATTATGTTTGTCACAATACCTGATGAAAATGTCACAAATGTTGTAATATTATACAGGATAGGGATCATTTAAAAAATTCATACAAACTTTTCGTTCACAAGAGAAAGAAAAATTCATTAAAGCTTCTGTTTAAAACTTCCGTGTGTCTTAAGAATAGCGAACTTTGGAAATGATATACAAGCTTTAAACTAACAAGATACTTAGATAGACAATGTCATGCGGTTCCAGATCACTTCTTTGTACATTAGCTGACACTAGTTGACAGGACTATACACATAGCTGCCGGTGCGCAAATACGCACGGGATTTTACCATAAATGTGGGGGGGGGGATCCAAAAATAGAATTTATAAATCAAGAACATGGGGTGAAAGTATTGCTGCTGTAGCTGCTTATGGATTTTATTGGTATTTGAAATGGTTTTTGTTTTTGAGTGTCCACATTTAACCACAGAAACAAGTTTCTTCTTATTTATATATTTTCAATTAGTTGTTAACTGTTTTGAGACATTCAAAAAAATTTTTTTTGTATTTTTACATATATAATATATAGAGAAATATTCGTCTGTGCGCAACGCAGACTGTTCTCAAGGATTTTTTACAAATCTATCATATAAGTCTTTTGATCATGAGTGCCCTGACGCATTTTCAGGTTTTGTGAATTGTTAATTTATGACAAACATGACAAAATAATAAGCCCTTTCTTTTATTTTCACAAATATACTTTTAAAGAAGTTTTGTCACAAAGTGCTCTAGTATATATTGTCGGATTTTATGGTATGATCATTTTTGACAGAATTATGACCCATCATTGCCAAAAAGAGGTTAAATCACAAAAGCCGAATGATATGCGTCATCATAGTTCTATGACAACTTGGTCAAAATCCCAGAAAAAAATGTTGAAAGAGTTTCACACAGAATTGTATTTCTCTTGTTTATTAAAAACGGAAAAAAAAACAAAGGGTCGTGATTTCGCTAGAATTAATAAAATTATATAGTTCTGATTATAATTATATTCCTGATATCAATGGAACCGTTGTGACTTGGTCATATTATCTGATTTTGACAATATGAAGAGATCGATAATTATGTTGAAAGTTAGCAGCCGGGTAAAAATCAAATAAATTGCAGAGAAATTGGTAAAACATTTTTTCACAAATATGAATATCAATTGACATGAAAAAATAGGTTAATGCAAACTTAAACACGAAAAGATGTTAATACAATATAAAGTTTTGTATTCGTATTTAAACTGATATAAAACAAACTTCATACAGTGTGAACTAAATTATATACCCGGTTGCAAAAAAAAGTATGTACTTGGTCACTTTGAGGTTTTATATACTTACTTGAGCAAAAAAGGGAAAAAATATGAACAGTAATCATATGAACATTTTCTTTTGCAACTCCTTGTCTGGATAGTTCGTGAATGTCATACTGTCTTGGTTTTTGCCAACCCTCACCTGTTATAAAACTTTCAACTTGGACTGATGTTTTATGGTAACGCATATATGTGTGACGGAGCTTTGTAGGAGCACATTTGTCTCGGAGCACATTTGTCTCACGAAGTGTGACCGATGTGTTCGTAAACATTCATATTTGCGACAAATTGGAAATGAGACAGATGTGTTCGACACACAATAGAAAGGACACTCGAAGCACATTTGTCTCACATTTTTCCATGAAATTCTTAAAATGTAATAATTATGCCCGTCCGTTTACCGGCAACCAGCAATTGTTCTGTGTTTTCTGTATTTTTAGGTCACTTCCGGTCAGTCAAAAACTTCCTGCCTCTGCATGGGAGTCATATATTAAATTAAAGAATATCCCTGTTCTGCATGTCACAATGAAAATTTCTACAAGTGCAGCATCCAGAACCTAAACAAATATACAGCAAGTCTATTGTTATCGTTATCAATTGTGATACGTTTATTTTTAATGCTTAAAGTTTTATAAATGATTTATGGCACTAGCAATATTCTTAGCAAAAACAAGGTAGTATCTACGGTGGCATAAAGGGGACATACAATTTTCTTATTTATAACGTGCGCACACGATAGCTTTTACGTGACCACGCGATACTATTACGATAGCTACATGTATGACGTGCGCACGCGGATATGTATTCCGCATTTGGACACTGACCAGGATCCCCGCAAAGTTCGATGAATAGTTCGATGCCCTGTGTATATATCGAACCTACAGCGGTTAGGGACAAATGTTTTTTTTTTAATCAATCGGCCACGGAGGCCCTTAAATGATCTATGGAAGAAAATAAGAAGACCATTACACACGTATTTTGTTTTCATCAGAAATATATGTATGTAAAAATCGTCATTTTCCAAGAATTGCGGCTTTCAGATCCGCCATTGAAAAAGCACTTACAACATGTATGAGTTCCTAAAATAATCCGGGTAATGCCATAATTATGGAATATCGGACCACTCAGAATCGTGCGAGACGCGACATTCCGATGAGACACGAAGCGAGGCACGATATTGTAACACGAGATCTCGCAATGTCGAAGTATCCCGTACCACGAGATTTCAGAAATGAATAAATTTTTACTTCTTTAGATAGAGCAAGTATGAATTTATTAATATTCAAATAATGATTTCTGAGGAAGTTAGATGCTTGTAATCTAAAGAAATTCGCGATAAATGTGAAATAATGCGTCATAAAAGTAGCAAAATGTAAACAATGTAGTATTTTGACTTCAATACAAAATTCTAAATCACTTCAACTGTACAAACTGCAAAAAAGCAGCAGATGAAAAATGCTTTAGGTAATTAGCCAATGAGTAACTTTTTGGAGCTATAAAAGTATACCAAAAATACAAAGCTTTTAAGGAATACAAATAAAAGCATTTCTCAGGCATAATGGGCCTTTAAGTGATTTTATGTAGACTATAAAGGGAATACTACTTAGTGGTATATGACCTGGAATCAATTTCTTGTCTCGCGTCGACGAACGAGATGCGAAGCGAGACGCGAGATTTCGGCGAGATGCGAAACGAGTCACGATATTGTATCATTCAATATCAACCGATTACGGTGTTCCGTTTGGACATAAGTAACATTTTTGACTCCCTGAACAGCTATGCGCAATGGTACAAAGGTGAAATTGAGATGGTACGATGATTAAAACACGATGACACGATGGTGAAATCACGATGATGCGATGACACGATAGAGAAAATAATATCGCGTTTTCATCATCATGCCATCGCAGTTTCATCATATCGTACCATCGTATTTTCGCCATCGTAACATCGTCTTTCACCATAGTATCATCACGTTTTCATCATCGAACCTTCGTTGTTTCACCATCGTACAATCGTTGTTTCACCATCGTACAGTCGTTGTTTCACGTTCGTACCATTATGTTTTCACCATCGCACCATCGCGTTTTCATCAACGTAACATCGTGCCACCGCGCTGTCACCATTGTACCATCGTGAACGGGATTTTGTTTGTTTCAGTGTACGCCTTCAGGTTAAGCCAATCAATTACTTGAATTAGAGATATTATGATCAATAGTTTTCATTAAGAAAGTATAAGCAAACCTATTGCTGATTACACTATGACTTGACATGAGGTAAAACGGCGAACCTCGATTCTAAAAAAGAATTTCTGCCGTGGGAATAATGTGACAAATAATTCATAAACAATGATATGAGACAAATGTGCTTTCTTGTCCCTTAAAAACACATGAGACAAATGTGCTTTCTTGTCCCTTAAAATCTTGATCGGAGCACATTTGTCACACAAATGAACTTTTTGGGGTAGACATTTGAGGTCTCATTTGTCTCATGTGGGACAAATGCGACCGCATTGGTCTTACGTAAGACAAATGTGCTCCGAGACAAATGTGCTCCTACAGAGCTTTAAAACGGTAAATATTTTTTTCTATGTCTTATGTTCTTCTGTCAGCTCTCATGTAGGTCAGATACATATATGCTATTCAGTTTCAGAATGAGCATTGAATCGGTCAATACATTGCGATATTTCCATCGAAGACAGAGGGAAATAAAAAAACATATTTGGAGATGACTGTCTGGCTGTTCTTCTTCATCTTTTAAACCACTCAATCAAACAATTAATATAATCAGAAAAGGAACCACTGGATCCTTTTGCATGACACCACCGTATCCTTTTTCATGGCACTGCTTTAAATTGTGTGTTTCTAAGCATAATGATATTCTGAGGTTATAATATATTAAAAATGTGGCTTTTATCGTCCGACGAGAGATATCAATTTAACAAATATATTTGTTATCATATTGCATGTATTGAGTTAATGTCGACTTAATGTAAATTTTTTATGTCATTCTCAACGCATACAGTTTCATTCTTCGCCAATTCATCAGAAAACAATAATATATTTCAGGGAATAAATATAATAATTATAGAGGATATTCAAGTTTTTTCTATAAATACATGATTTATTTTCATCGAGTGGTACATGTATGAAAATAAATATTTCATGAGTGGCGGTAGCCACGAGTGAAATGTGGTAATTTTCATGCCACAAGATGAAAACACATCATGTATTTATGGAAAAAACTTGAATTTTCTGTTTATTTTATACATTTTTCTCATTTTTGACATTAAAATTGAAAGACTTTCCCTTAAATTTTGTGTACTGGCAGAATTTAAAAGAAAGTAGTCCGGCAAGACACCAGTGAAAATACAGAAAATATGTTTCACTGCAGTGAAAAATAAATTTTTTTTCAGTGAAAATACGGAAACTGAAAATACACATTTTATTTCATCAATATTACTCATATATAATATTATAAGTACTAGTATATAATAAATTATTATATCATGTTAATCTTAACATTCGGAATGGAATATGGTATAAATATTGGCAAAAGGGAACCTTTGTCTATACTTATACAAAAAGTATGTCTCAAATAATTTATATGTACGTTAAGCTAGATAATATAATTAGACCTTTTAGAAAAGATTCTTGCATTACTTTGGACTGGAAAAACGAAAATGAACGTGGATATGTTCCAAAGTTAAATAAAAACCATATACGTGTACATGAAAATATAACTTTGTGACAAAAGATACGCTAGAAAAGCAATGAACCAGCTCGATTCATTGATGATTGTAAATTTATATAAATTTATATATTTCTTATAAAACAGTGGGGGAAAGAGGCGGATTTCACAACATTCTTAAATTAGATAATGACTGGTTTTATTCCTCTTGGTCCAAGCAATGAACAAATAACAGTTCTCAAATATCTTAAAAATCATTTAGGGACTTTTCTAACTTTGATATACCATTGATTGCGTGTACAATTATATTACGGATACGCTGTCGTTTTATCCGCTAACAAATATATTTGTTATCATATTGCATGTATTGAGTTAATGTCGACTTAATGTAATTTTTTTTATGTCATTCTCAACGCATACAGTTTCATTCTTCGCCAATTCATCAGAAAACAATAATATATTTCAGGGAATAAATATAATAATTATAGAGGATATTCAAGCTTTTTCTATAAATACATGATTTATTTTCATCGAGTGGTACATGTATGAAAATAAATATTTCATGAGTGGCGGTAGCCACGAGTGAAATGTGGTAATTTTCATGCCACAAGATGAAAATACATCATGTATTTATGGAAAAAACTTGAATTTTCTGTTTATTTTATACATTTTTCTCATTTTTGACATTAAAATTTGAAAGACTTTCCCTTAAATTTGTGTACTGGCAGAATTTAAAAGAAAGTAGTCCGGCAAGACACAAGTGAAAATACAGAAAATATGTTTCACTGCAGTGAATTTTTTTTTTCAGTGAAAATACGGAAACTGAAAATACACATTTTATTTCATCAATATTACTCAATATTTCATTTATAAGTATATAATAAATTATTATATCATGTTAATCTTAACATTCGGAATGGAATATGGTATATAAATATTGGCAAAAGGGAACCTTTGTCTATACTTATACAAAAAGTATGTCTCAAATAATTTATATGTACGTTAAGCTAGTAGTATAATTAGACCTTTTAGAAAAGATTCTTGCATTACTTTGGACTGGAAAACGAATGAACGTGGATATGTTCCAAAGTTAAATAAAAACCATATACGTGTACATGAAAATATAACTTTGTGACAAAAGATACGCTAGAAAAGCAATGAACCAGCTCGATTCATTGATGATTGTAAATTTATATAAATTTATATATTTCTTATAAAACAGTGGGGGAAAGAGGCGGATTTCACAACATTCTTAAATTAGATAATGACTGGTTTTATTCCTCTTGGTCCAAGCAATGAACAAATAACAGTTCTCAAATATCTTAAAAATCATTTAGGGACTTTCTAACTTTGATATACCATTGATTGCGTGTACAATTATATTACGGATACGCTGTCGTTTTATCCGCTAAAATCGGCGATTGCGTATCTTAAATGATATTTTTTAAATTTGATACCAGAATCGTGTTCAAGTTTTGCTGTGAACTGATTATTTTTTCTAGTCGTTTCTCCAAATGCACCTGTCAAGGGAGCGAGAACTTAATTATTTCATTCATTTTCTAAAGCGTTGTTTTTACTGATCATTTTACATGTTCTCTTTACCGTATACGAATGCATTATTTATAGTGATAGATATATAAGAATATATATATCTAGCATGTTCTATATTATAGTCTTAAGCAAATGCCCTTTATACTATAATTACAGCGTAAACATACCAAAGCGAATGTACATATTTCACGGGAGTAGTTGTATTCAAAATGGAAGTAGGGTTAATAATAAAAACGATTCTACTGTCAGTTGGAATATTAATTCTATATTATATCGTGTCATTCTTTATATATTCACGGAGAGTTCAATCATTATTCAAAGGAGTTAAAGGACCACCAAAATGTCACTGGCTGCTTGGCAGCTTTATCAATGTAAGCTTTCAAAAATGAATTAGATCTTATAGTTTTGCATGTGGGTGGGGAGTGTGATTTAAAGACTGCCATTCGTAGATTGAGCCTCTGCTGGTAATTTAAAATATTTGATTTATATCAATTATTTTTTTACTTCGTGCTAAGTAATTAAAAGTTAGGTAATTATTTTCACCGGTTGTGAATTTTATTTTCAGTTTAATAGATAGCTACTGTAGCTAAAGAGCTATTTAATATAGTAATAATGCGAACAGATTTATTGATTTACACTAAATTCTCTTAAATTATTATGGATATCACTGTTACTAAGGTATTACGTGTGCTATCTTTGTAACAGATACGAAAAAAGGTTATTGATAACTAGAACGTATCACTGTGTATATATGCTACATGTACCGCCTCTTATTTAGAGATAAAGATTTGTTACATTATTTGAACGTGTAAGCTGGCTCCATGATTATGATATACATGTACATTGTTACATATTAAGATATTGGATACAGTTTAATAGGTTGTCAGCTTATATATTAGAAGCTTATTATTAGTTAATACAAGTTGCTGACGATGTATACGGAAGAATGACCTGAACGAGATAAATAATATGACACGAGGGGAATCAGCCGAGGATATATTTTATTTAAATACATGTATATATTCTCCCGTACATCTAGGGAGCAACTTGTATAACAAATTTCTAATAACGCAAATTGTTTTCACTGGCGTCAGACGTTCAATGACTACGCGAACGTTGCACTTTAAGTATAAAGTCATCATAGCGTAGTAAATTTTAACTATCGTTTTGAAGTAATGCCATTTGAATCGGGAAGTATGGCACAATCAAAGAACAAAACGCGATAATTTACTTTATACACACACACGGGGTAGGAAGTGCTACACGAAGGATGGAGTTCTTATGATAACTTGTTCAGGAGTTCTTGTGATAACTGTCGCGGAGTTCGTCGGAAAACATCTGTATATACTACAAAAACACTCGTCAAAAATGGTTAACCATCATATATTGTTATATGTACGTGCTTCGGTTATGCACGGTATATATGGAAAGTAAACAAAGCCTACCAGAACTCGAGGACTAGTCTTAATTATTTCCATTATAATAATATTATTTATACATGTTAATGACGGGATATACGGGAGAATATGGCCTGAATGAGATAAATATAACCTCAGGCGCTTGAATACAAATTCACAAAAATAGTGCGGGAAAGAGACGCGTGCACGTTAATAAGAACGCTTCGCACTAGTTCAAGTGTAGTCATTTTCGCGCGCGGTGTAACTATGCTCTATTTTATAAAGTACTGATACTTGACGCAATAATTTTATGATCTACATTTTTTCCGTTCGTGCTTCGGTTCTTTGCGGTATATACGTATTAATATACAAAGCATTTAAGCAAATCCGAATTCAAGAAATTTATTTGCAATTTGTGAGAGATGACATAATTACAATATATTGAAAGTGTCTATTAAAATAATGTATCTCATTATACTTTGTCACCTTCATTGATTAATGTCTCTACTCACATTTTATCAGTTTCCAGCAGAAGGTCATGAGCGGGTACAGTTTTTCATTGATATGTGTAACAATTATGGCCGGGACCAGGGATATGTTTTACTATGGGGAATGTTTCGGAAGCCAACAATAGTGGCCTGTAGTCCGAGGGTGATGGGAACGATATGTAAAAGTAATGGTAGGTATAGTGAAAATAAAGTACAACTATATTGATGCGGCAATTAGATAATTTACACACGGGGAAACGGTGCCTCCATGGCCTAATGGTCGGGGGCTTTCACGACGAATTACTTGCGCCTCGACGATGTGTTTAAATAACCAACTATGTACTTCTTTCATTGGTAAAATCTCTTGCCTGAAATAATACACAAAGGGACAACTATTTGAGGGACTGTATTTATTTGAAAGTCAGATTTATAGTGTGACTTATGCCCTACCAAATGTTTTACGAAATGACGAACAATGGTGTCGAGATCACTCATCAGCTATAGAAACAAATAACAATTGACAGTATGCATAATTATTTATGTTAACTCTATAAATATGCAATTGGTGTTAAGATCGCTCATCGACAATGGAAACAAATACTAATTAGCAATATACATGCTGCCTTTTAACATCTCTGACGCAAGTCTATAAACGTTACCTTCTGTACTTCTTATCAATTGCTTTTATTTACCTGTAGTTGTTTTAAATATATCACCCTTATCAACTAAATAGTTCAAAAGAACTTGTTTGTAGAAAAAAAATCAAATTAAGTATTGGCTGAATAGCGAACAATGTAAACCATAATTAGACGGCATATATGTGCCTGTTGATCTTGGTCTTACCTGGCAGAATTAACTCGTCAAGATTTAATTATTAAATAATGATTGAATATTAAATATATCAAAACATTAACTCATAAATATGATTTGGCATTTAAACAGTTCCAAAAGCAAAAGGTTTGGTTGGTGTTTACCGTTTCATGCAGCCATGGCTTGGTGATGGTTTGCTGGTAGCCAATGGTGAAAAATGGGCGAGAAATAGACGTTTGCTTACACCCGCCTTTCATTTTGAGATACTGAGACCTTACACCAACGTGTACAACCAATCAGCAGATATATTGGTGGTAAGATTATAACATATTTCCCGCCATAAGTCTTACTTGTGCCATAAAAACATATTAATTTAGCCCGATTACTAGTTAGTAAATTATGCTGCTTATACAACATTCAAATGTGGCGTGGTCCTTCTACTGCCAAGGAATCGAAGGCGACCACGTATCTGCTGTCTGTCATGCTTGTAAATTAGGAATAAATGTAGGAGCCTGAATTCATACTTGTGTAAAGATTATCTCATTCATAATTCAGCATGCAAATGTGGTTCTTTAACGGAAGATTCCGAACTTTTTAAATGACACTTCATACAAAGAAGAAAATTATTTATATCTACCAGAGAATTCCACCCGCTTAGTACTAAAAAGCTGCTCTTTGGCATCCAGAATTTAAACGACTTCCGAAATAAGCGATTTTCCAGCATGTTCAAAAATTATATCAAAGATACTTAAAACGTTATTTCTTCCTTCTTTATTATAACAAGTATCTTGGTGTTTTTGTCGTGTTTTTTTCAACACTAACAAATGGGTATCTGCTGCACAAAATGTATAATGGATTGGTTTGTGGTTGTGTCGTGACACACTGTTAGATAGTACCGCAACTTTTCTTTTCTCTTCAATCTTTTTTGCATATCTTTATGAGAACATGTATAATTACTAAATTTATATAGATTCTATACATTTATGAATCGATCTTTACTTTATAAAACTGATGTTATTCATTTACTGGCGTGGGCCCACGGTAATGTTGCAAAACCTTTTGGACCAACCAAAGATTTGATGTACCGGTATATTTATATATATAAAATATTATTAAATATTATTAAATTAAACATAAAACAGATACAAAACCTATATTGATTGTTTCCCATTGATTTTTGCACTTTTTCAGAAAAAGATAATGTCAAAAGCGGAAGCTGGAGAAAGGTTTGAAGTTTTCCAGCACGTGTGTTTATGTACATTAGAGATAATACTGAAGTGTGCATTTTCATACAGTAAAGATGTACAGCATGATGGGTATGAGACACAAATATACTTTACTCAAGACTATTATTCTATGAAGGCAAATGGCTGGATAGCAGTTTTCTCTGTTGACAAAGAAACTATATAAGTTTACGAAAAAAAAAATATTTTGTTATACCTCCGTACATAGCATACTCTTACGATGTGTATCTATTTGCCCGAGGGTGGTGTTGGTAGTTTACCCTCCGGATCACGACAGTAAGCCACATTGAATTTACCAAAGCACAGTTCATCCCATTCATCGTTTCTTGACACACTGTCAAACAGTTTACCATTATATGTACCTATTGCCTTTACTTTCGCAAGGAACTGATAGGCTGATAGCTTCTGTACATGCCAGGGCTGAAGTACAGGGCGAATGACTGTAGAAAGGACTTCATGATCAATCACAACGAAAGTGACCTGCACCGTCCGGAAATTGAACCCGCCTGATTCACTGTCCGACACTCTGTACCTATTGAGCTAACCGGGCTTCTCAAATAAATCTTTCATTTTATATGTTTGGGAAAATGATATCGGATAATTTTAGCGATATTTTTGTAATTAAAAAAATTTGAATATAATTTATTTCAAGTACTTTTGTTAAGTTTATTTTTCCCGTGCATTTGATAATTCGTAAATCTTTTAATATTATATGATTGTGTAATTCTTTTCAACATACTTTATTTAATTTGTTATTCAGGGACACTAATCCGTATGTAAAAGCGGTAAACAGAATTACAGATTCCCTAACATACAGATTATTGTAAGTTTCATTTTGGTCTTTTTATACATTTTTAAATCGACTTTTTTTTAAAGAGGTACTATAGTCTGTCCCATTAAAAATGGAAATGAACTTTTGCCTGGTATGAATTAACAAAACGACGTTGAATAAAAAATAAAACTTTTTTGTAAACTAAAAAAAAGTCACCCTCGAGATTTTTCAGGATTTTACTCTAAAGTGTCTACTTTTCTTGTGAAAGCAAATTTTGATTTCTCTATGGTAAATCTCTGTTGTTTATTTTCCGTAGCCATTGCCGAAGTACTCTTCATTTGAAGATGAACGGGAGAAAGCACGTGTCATGTTTCTAAAATATACATGAGGTTCTCGGGGTCGTTTCATGATTATTTTACAAAGCTGGATCTACAAGATGTAACAGTTTAGTTGCAATGCATGATGGAAAACTTTAAAAAATGAAAAATAAGCAACAAGAACACCGAGTCACATGGAGTAGATCTAGAAATTGCACTTACTTTTAAGCTGAATAGAATCCCTATGAACTTTATAAACGTCACGATAAATTCGCATTCTGTGAAGATTCCTTCATTGCCAGTTTCTATCCAGTTGTTCCGCAGATCCCACTTTTTACTTCAAAAATCCTGAATGAAATGACCCCTACACTTTTGATGATCCAGATTTTTTAAACTGATAATCCGTCTCATTATTAAAACATTGTTCAATCTTTGGAGTTATCTGGGTTAGCAAATGAAATATGTAAATGAAACACATCATAATTAAGCATGTTCCAAATCCATAATTCAAGAACGGCCCATCAATTTTAGCTGTCAACATCACAATGCTTATCGATTCCTGACGACAAAAACTTTATTACGTCAACAACAATTTACGAAGTATATGACGTAACAAAACTGCTCGCGCTTTTTATGGATGATTCCAGTTGCGGCATTGACAGAGGGCAGTAAGGCATATGTAACCTCAAACAGATAATTTTAAGCGTTGAGATAAATTTGTCTTGATGGCATTTAAAATAATTTTTGCATACCCAGATTTTGCAACTTAACTGTAAAAATCACACCTTCAATCCATATATTAATAATATAAAACTTTTGATAACATTTAAAAATAATTTTAAACACACTTAATGACACGAATCTACAACAGTACAATACTTCTTCCATTAATTACATATAACATTATTTTGATTTTATGTTTTTTAAACTATTTTATATATTTCTCAGAAATAATTTCCCTACATATTATCTCGTTATTCAAGACTTCTGTAAATCGTACTCTTTTAGCTACAAAATATACAATAGGCGGTATTTTTTCTCCCGCGAAAAATATGCTAGATCTATTGTTTTTCACTGAATATTTTCAAATTTTAGGAAGGCTAAAATTATTGAGAACGTCACTCGGTGTTTCTCTTTGACTCGATCTACCCTTCATATTAACAAAATAATTATTTTTTAACACTTTGAGTCAACGCTTATTGAACACTCCAATTCAAACTTACTCTTATTAATATCAAATCACTGCCGGTATTTTTTGACATTTTGTTGAATTCAAACAACTACAGAATTATGTAAATTAAACATTAATTAGCGAAGAACCATTTTTTTATAGTCTTCTAGCTAGTGTTCCCGCTCCCCTACGACGCGTTGCGGTATTCAAGATACGCGCTTGATTGAAAAGCTATCTAATCAAATACTTCATTGTTTTTTTTATCTTTAAGTATAAAAATATAAAATATGACAGTATATCATGGTAATTAATTAAATCTTTGTGTGTTAGAATTTATAAATGTTGCTGATATTTTCACTTCAAAAGATTTTAATTATTTTAAATAATGGTTTGCTTGTAAAATTGCCTTTTTGACACCAACTTTGTTGTCATTTTTCATTTTAATGATAACATTTAGCTTTTGATCAGTAAGTAAATAAGAATATTATTTTTTTATAATTACCGAGTACATTTCACGCTAATTGTGAGACGAACCCTAAATGACGTCTATATGGGCGCCGCCATTTTGAAATGGACGTCACGTCAGGTTACAATGTAAGTCAACGGGAAAAATTATAATTTTAACATTTTGACAATATTACTGACTTTATGAACAAAATGAAAAACATGCCTAGAGATATTGACGTAAGGGTTAACATGACATTAATTTAAATGATTTTACTATTATATTAAATAAAAAATGGAATGTTCAAATTTGATGGGACAGACTATAGTATATGGCAGTCATGTCGGCGTTGTCAATGCCGCCCGCAAACTTTAACTTTGATCATAACGTTTTGGTGTATTGTCTTCATACTTGGCCACAGCAACCCTTGGGACAAGACGTTTTAGTAGACCAGACTGACATTGACCTCCATTCATAAATAATTAAATGAATTTGATCTCCAACGTTAAATGTCTTAATTTTGCTTGCTTTGCTTGTAAATCACCTTTGAACTTCCAACACATTTTATGATGCTGACATTATGGTGTTTTAACACCAAGAATTTAAGCTATTGGTGAATATACTATATTTATATCAGCATACTTAATTAACTTTCTCAATTACTAAATTTCAAATTCACTATTTATACTTTATGAATCTGTGATCTCAAATTACTCACGTATACAATGTCATGAAATCACGAGTTAACATCACGTTTGTGTGATATCAATTCGTCCGTCTTCCATCCGTAAACTTTTACTTTAAGCCTCCTCATAAACCGCCAAGCCAATTTCATCCAAACTACAAATGAGTGTTCCTTTGGTGGTCACCTTAGAAAATTGTTAAAAAATAATTCTATTGAGAACCGAAAGACATTTTTTTAAAAATCTTCTTTAAAAAAACTCAAAGCGCTAGAGCTTAGATATATGGCATGAAACATCTTCTAGTGAGTGCCTACCAAGTTCGTTCAAATAAAAGCCCTTGGGTCAAAATTGGCCCCGCCCCAGTGGGTCATTGATTTTCCTGATATGTATATACTGAGTTTTTTTTTTTAATTCTTCATTTAAAAACCCAAAAGAGCCAGATCTTAGATATTTAGTTTGAAACGTCTTCTAGTGAGTATCTACTAAGTTTGTTCATATAAAAGTCCTGGGGACGAAATTTGCCCCGCCCCGGGGTTCATTGATATATATTTTATGTACACATATTTTTTATCTTTTGGTTTCCCTTAGCAATAACAATCAGTAATTTTCTTTTAAACTTTGTGATATCAGTTTAAGATTTAGATTTTATATCTGCTTTTGTTTACAGTGTACAATTTTACTTGTTCCTTGTCATGTAGAGTTTTTATATTCAGGTGAGAGATCTCAGGGCCATCGTGGCCCACTTGTTTACTCTGAGAATTCAGCCAAACATAAAAGTTCAAGTAAAACTTTCTTTTGTTTTGTAAAACTTTAGAACACATGTATCTGAATGATTTCTACAGATATCGAAAGTATTTGCATCATGATTTAACCATACAAAAATTGTTTTATAATTATATGATTACAAACACTACTTTGTGCATTCAAGGCATCCTCTTTGTTACTTTGACATCATTTGGAGAATATGCAAAGTTGGACGCCAGTTTTACACCGACTGTGACTTTGTACACGCAGTTGCTGAAGAAATAATCGACAAACGAAAAGAATCTTTGGTAAAAACTTAAACATTTATTGTCGTTATGTTTTTGTTGTTGTTGTTTTTGTTGACAAAGTTAAATGATAGATATATTCTTAAAGTTTGCTTCGGTGGCTTTGGTTTATTTGTAAGCATTGCGTTCAGGTCATTTACATGTATACTTTGACCTTTATAAAGTAAAATGTATATGTTTTAACAGTTCATTGTGAATACCTTGAAATTCAAGACATAACCCCTTTTTAATTAATTACTTTCTGTATATAACTATTTTTATGTCTTAAATAATGAGATTATATTATACCCTTAAATCAAAATGCATCACTTATATAAAGCATATTTAAATTTATTTGAAAGCTGTTGGAAAAGTCGGGTAACCATGATGAACGCCGATATATTGATTTCCTTGATATATTATTGAAAGCCGAAGACGAGGACGGACATAAACTGACCAGGTTGGAAATCAGGAATGAAGTGGACACATTCTTATTCGAAGGTTAGGGATAATATTTCTTACATATATAAAAAGTCCTGAAAAAAAATTTGTTTTACTAACAGTTTCCCAGTAATCCAAACGGGTAGACCGTTTTAATCTAAAGGGTATTCTTTCTTGGTTATAATTTTTTCTACTTATTATTAGTTTTGTGAATAAGAATTACAGGTTGTCTGGTCAAGCCAATACAGTTTGCCGGGATACAATTCTCTTTGGAGATTTACCTTAAAGGTGATTTCAACTTTCAAATGAAACTATTCAATTTCATGACTTTTAATGAAGGGTTTAATTAAATTCAGTTCAAGATTAATAAAACGTATGTATGAATTTGTGTTGTTTCAATAATTCACAATAAAAATTCACTTATCGGGTAATATAATGTAATAGATAGAGTCTTATTTCAGGTCGGCTAACTATCTAGTAAGTTTTGTCTATAAGAAAATGGTGGCTTATCATCGAAACGGCTTATTTCTGAGACATGTTTATTATAGAGTTTTTCCGCTATTTATTTAACAAAATTGTCAAAGAAAATGATTTATCCAAAGCATTCAAAGTTGGAAATTTAAAACATGAGCTCGAGATTAGTTGATATAATACGTATATCTTATAAACATTGACATGGTTTGAAATTAATACTAAATGGACAGTACAAAGATTGACACAAAGCTGACTGTTAATTAATTTTTTATAAAATTCATGTGTAATTTAGTCTTGTGACATAGACAAAAGTAGTACAAAGGTGTGTTTATCCGAGATAATGTGTGTAAAACATTCAATGTCATTGATGTTTTAGGTATAAATAAAGTTTTGTGCTTTCTTATTTTCATGTGAAATATTTAAAAAAAAAAAACGTTTAAGTTTGTTGTTTTTTTTTGTGTTAGGTCACGACACAACCGCAAGTGCGATATCGTGGATTCTGTATTCCCTTGCCGAAACTCCCGACTGTCAACGGAAATGTCAAACGGAAATTGACGAAATCCTCGGCGATAGAGACTCGGACGATTTGGAATGGTGAGCTGGAACATGTTTTTTTAAAGGCGATACATAATTTTTCACTGTGTTAACATCTAAAAATTGGAGCGTCATCAAATACTCTTTTCTTATATAGATTTATTAAAGTTCTCCTGTATTTTAATTTTCTGGTAGCATTATCAATCTAAAAAGTCTATCCATTTGTCAGAAACCCATAATTTAAGTCATAATCTCTCCTTGTTCAAAAATGATCATTTTGAAGAAATTGAATGCGTAAAATTTGTACTCTTTTTAAAAAGCGATTTTTGATTATTTGTAAACATTTTTTCTTTTTTTTTTCTGTTTGAATATAGTTACCCACAGTCTCTGTAATTTTCTTACCTTTTTCATTTTATGTAGGTCAGACCTGTCTAAACTGGAATATTTAACAATGTGCATAAAAGAAGGCATGCGCCTGCATACTCCGGTACCTATAATGAGCCGTGACACTGCTGAAGAGTTTAACATCGGCGACCGTGTTGTTCCAAAAGGGACACTTTTGCAGATAAACGTATTGGCTATGAATCACATGGAGAATGTATGGGGCACAGACCACATGGAGTTTAAACCAGAACGTTTCTCCAAAGAAAACATCGACCAGATTGAGCCTTTTCAGTATATTCCGTTTTCAGCAGGTTCAAGGTAACTTTTGATTTTTCTTCATATTATTTTATGTCTAAGTGGACTTACACATATGAATAGCGTATAATTTATTGAATATAGGATGATCTAATAATCTATGCTAAACCTATTTGTATATTGAATACCAGCCTAAAAAGTGGTAAACATCTGTAAATTTACTAAATATATTGCCTGGCTTATCCAACAATAAGAATTCTTGTGTCGTTCAAATGTTTCAAAATTCTTTTAAAAAATGTCTAGCATTATTGCATAATTTAACCCCGTCATTTTACAATTGACAGATTCGTTGTTAGTGTTCTAAGTATGACTTTGCAAGCAATTGTAAAATCCGCTCAAACAGCCGTTTTTAGTCAAAAAATATTGTAAGAAACTGCTGAAATTATTTAAGTTCAAGGAGAATGCTCTTTTATTTCAGGAACTGTATTGGTCAAAACTTCGCAATGAACGAAGAAAAGGTTGTTTTATCCAAGTTGTTAAGAAAGTAAGTACATTCCCATATAACAGTTAACAAAAATATAAGCGTTAAATTTTCCACATTCTGTGTTGTGTTAAAAAAAAACAAGAATAAAGATCAACAAGGCAAAGGCAACGTTCACAGGACGTAGCCCCCCCCCATCCCGATACACTCAAGTAGGGCACCTAAAAGGCACCAAACAAAAACCTGGAGTGGACATAAGGGCGAAAGGAGTGGGACATGTAATGTGAAATAATAAAAAACTAAAACTGGCCAATATGGGCATTAAAGGGATAAGGGCTGTAAGGGTGAAAAGGGGGGGGGGTAAAAAATGGGAGAGGGGGGATTGAGATTAAGTTAAATAAAACCGATAAATTATGATATGTCAACATAAAAAATGACTTCCACATTAGGTGTATTTTTTTCTGTCATAAAGTGTTAATCAGTCAGATGCCATAAACCTTTGACGTTAATTAAAGAGTTAATTAGTCAGATATCATTAGAACACAAAACAATATTCGTTTTTAATTTCGTCAAGGTTACATTTGTTGCAACGTACATAACAATAATCATGTAAAAGAATACCTAAGTTACACACGAGGAGGTGAAAGGCTTTCATGCTTTAACTGTTACATGTGTTAATGAAAGAACAAGTAAAACATTATATATTTGGCTTTTAAAAGTAAATTTGTAAATACTGGATATGTTTAATCATAAGCATTATTGGATATTTTATTCTAGCTTCAACTTTAGACTAGACCCAAACCATGAAGTTAAGAAGAACATGTCGGCTGTGATGAGGACGAAGGACGGAATGTTTATGTTTGCTGAAAAACGTTAATTGTGAATGTGACACTTCGTACCGTAACTTGACTATCAGTATTGTTAATTCAATAATTTAGCATTATTACCAAAACTTTTTAATATATGGACATTTGAAGAAAATATATTATTTACAATGAATTTGTATTATAAATATACATGTATAGACAAGAATACTATTTTTCTTTCATGAAATCCCAATTAGTATCACAGTGTTTATGTATGTTCTTTTAAAGTCAGTGCCAGATATGGTTTTAATAAAATTTGGTGTTAAGACATCGTGGCAACGAGATAATTAGACGACTTAGTAACTCGTGGCCACGACATAGTATCTCGCCACGACTTATCTATCTCGTGGCCACGACTTAGTAACTAGTGGCCACGACATAGTATCTTCCGCGTACGAGATAAATAAAAACACACACATGTACCTTTGTGCCACCGTAGAAGGTTGTTTCATATACAAATAAATCTTAACAATGTTGATTCCGGGGCGGGACCATTTTTGACTAGCGGGATATGATTTATGTAACATTTGTAGAGGTCCATAGGGCAATGCAATGTTGCATGCCAAATTTCTAAGCTCTAGGACACGTAGTTCCACAGCAGAAGATTTAAGTGCGGTTAACTATAAAAGTCTATGTAAACTAAGTGAACGCTGGGGCGGGGCCAATTTTGATTATGGTACCTTGTAAAGGACTATAAAAAGATGCCAAAATTTATAAACTCTAAGCATTATTTGTTGAGAAGATATTAAGACATATTTGAAATGTAAGCTTGTATAAACTAAGATATTATTTATACGTTTTGTAGAGGAAATGCTGCATGCCAAATATCTAAGTTCTATGAATTTTGATGCTACGTATTAAATTCTCTTAAAGTTCTGGGCATTGTAATTTCTGAGGAGAAAATGTTTACGACATATTAATGTTAACTTAGTGACTACCAGCGTGGCGCCATTGCTTGACACCAGGGCCATGATTTATATAAACTTATTTAAATATCCACTTGGCAATGCTATATGCAAAATATCTTAGCTCTGGCCGGGGAGTGTAGTATCGTACAAGAATTCTCAAGTATATTGTTTTAGTTATAAAGATGTCTGACAGGTCATATGGCTTAGTATAAACGATTGTACGGTTATATACCGATCCGCTATACAAGGGTTATAATGCAATCAACGGTTTATCACAACCATATACGCTACATAGCTACATGCTAAACATCTAAGCTCAATGCATTTTAGTTTCACACCAGAAGACTTATTATTACTTGTTATTCTATTTGAATGTATGATGACTAAGACTTCCCAAAGGCTTGGCTAATTTTCAAGTTTGGGACATAATTTATCTAAATTTGGTAGAAGACCACCAATTGAATATACATGTTTTAAATATCTCTGCCCTAATTGGCATTATAGATTCCGGAGAAAGGATTTTAAGGGATATTTTCTATATAGCTAATGCAAACTAAATGACTCCCAGAAATGGATATTTATGTGACCCGTGGAGCATGATATGCATAATTTATACTTTTACACAAGAAAACTTAAAAAAAAAATCCAATACAACCGAGGTTCTGAGCATGTAAAAGAACGTAGTCGTCTCTAATACGGGACAATTTCTGTATCATAGACTGTCTAACTCTAGGTACAGGATGAGTAGCAATATCATGGGCATTCCCACGCGACTGTAAATAAACCGAAAGAAAAATCGTAAGGATCATTCCAGTGAAGTTTGGTCAAAATTCAGCATGTGTTTCATAAAGAGATGTGAATAACGGCGAACAACGGACAGTTTGCCATTACAAAGCTGACCACTAAGCTAAAGTCAACAAATTAACTAAACAGTTCTGTCTGTCGCATCCACTCCATCCTGTTAGCCTGTAATTATTACGTACTTAAATCTGGGACGGAAAATAACTTTCTGTCCCAGCTTAAATAAAATGTAAAATTGTGATAAATTCAGACTTTTTATAATAATAATAATAATAAATTGTGATAAATTCAGACTTTTTATAATAATAATAATAATATGTGTGTGTGCGTGCGTGTGTGTGTTTTTTTTATCTGAGCCGCGTCGATCACGACAAAGCCAACATAGTCCGTTTGCGACCAGCATGGATCCAGACCAGCCTGCGCATCTGGGCAGTCTGATCAGATAACCAACCCTATTACAAGTAGAGAAACTGATAGCAAACAGCATGCCGCCTGATCAGACTGCGCGGATGCGCAGGCTGGTCTGGATCCATGCTGGTCGCAAACGCACTATGTTGGTTTTGTCGTGACGCGGCTGATATATTCTTTTTACGGGAGCTTCATATAGATATGTGCCGCATAAAGTAAGGAAAATCGTTCATTCTGACGTTCATGAAATATTGTGTAAATGTAAGATTTTCATTAAAAAAAAATAACTACTGAAAAGAAGCAAAATAATGATTATGCTGTTGTTTGTAGATCTACATGTATACATACATAGCGCAAAACTCGTGCTGCATATCACTTAACAAACGTGGGAATTGATTTATCGTTTAATTAAAATCGACTGGACGTTAAAGCTTGTTGTAATTATAAATACGTACAGATCAACCCTAAAAGAAATGTACAGTGATACGTGCTGACAAAGGCACATAAAAGTTCGCGTACCACTGGTTCATTGGAATCTATTTAGGATTTCTGGATACTTTGTCTTTATTATTGCTAATAATAACCAGTGTTTTTTTAAGGATAGATATAAATGTAAATTTACACCTTCTGAAAGATGTCATCATATAGATCTACTGCTTATAGAAAATGTTTTAGTTGCAGATGTGAATAAATTCAAAGTAAATCAGCTACTGTACAATAATTGGAAAATGACAAAATAAATATCGCTATTTTCAGTTAACAATTTGCCTCAGATTGTTAGTCTATAAATACAAAAGCCTGCCCAGATTGTTACATAGGATAATGCACTTTAATTTACTATGTACAGTGCTATATTCATTTGGTGGTATTTAACCTTGTCTAGCAGGCGTCACGGAAAAATAGTGAGTTAAACACCGGTTCGAAATTAGGACGAAAGCGAAAGGAGAGATAATGGGAAGAAAAGTAACATTAGCAACATGCACACTCAATCAGTGGGCAATGGACTTTGAGGGGAATTTATCAAGAATTTTGCAAAGTAAATATATGTTGTTGTCTGACTGTCATTCTTAGATTATGTCAAAATCGTTTCTAGTTATTCGTACTCAATAATTTTCGACCTTGTTCTCAAACTGTCAGAGTTATTTAGATAACAGTTCACGGTACACAAAGAGAAGCAGTATGATATGTAGTTTAAAGTGCTAAATGATTAATTTACAATAAAAAAGATTTAAGATTCGCAAATAATTATTCGGGTCAATGCTGAAAACAGAAGGAATCTGTGTTGGTTGGTTCTGGGACTTTCAAATAGACTCCTATTTGAAAGACCTTGTATGGTTGTATCTTTATTCCAAAATGTATGTCATAGGGTGAGTAAAATGTGCAGCCTGCAGGAACTAAAACTCGGGACCCTGGGAAGTACCGACTGAGTAGTCCTATAAATATGACGTCGCTTTGAGATATTTTTGCTTCTGGGCAAAGCAACGTCATACCGAAATGGCTTAAAAATCCATAGCACATTCCGCCAGAAAATCAGGCGACACGAAATAAACAATTAAGACAGCGTGTGTTTACATTAATTTCTGATTGGCTAATTCAAATGCAAGCTTTTAACTGAGTCAGAAAATTATAACGGAATATAATTTAACAAAATAATTGCCTATGCACAGTCAGTGTGTTTGAATATATTTTTCCTTCATTTGAAATCGGTCTGTAAAGCGCCTTACTTAGCTAGTATGGCCGATAGACAAAAATAGAATAGATTAATGTTGATATTTAACTTTAAATTGATAAGTACATTGTTTGAGAGTTTTTGTTTATGATTTAGCATGAAATTTAAAGAAAAGAACATAAGCTTTTGAATAAAGCTTTAAAGGCAAGACAATAGACATTTTTGAATTTTTATGATGATATGGATAATACGTTTATAAGCAATAAGGGTAAAGTCAAAAATAATGAGGCCAAACATTTAAAGGCTACCAAGATTCAGAGATCTGCCAAGAATTTGAAAGTACTGGGCCCTGGGCCCACTTGGTCTGAAAATGATGGGCCATTTTTACCAAAGTATGGGCCTTGGGAAAATAAGTAAACATTGACCAAAATAACTGTTAAAAAGTTTGTAGATACATGTAATTGAATTTCCCAGGTAATAAAACTTAAATCATATTTTATGACAAGTGGTTCACTTATAATTCAGTACTTTACCAATAATTAAAAATTATGCCTACATGGTAACTTTCTAACTAATATTAATTGCAGGCAAAAATGAAAATATTTTTTTAATGGCTGCTAAAAAATGTGATATGCAAATTTATTCACATAATTGCTGGTTCTTGCTTGTAATGTTTTATATTGTGCATTATCCATTTAATTGTTCCTACTTTGCACCAAATGTCCCTTACCACTGTATATTGACGAATTTCATTGCCCCTTGTATGCCTCTGTGTAGACAGCATACATCAAAGACATTTGCCGACAGACCTTTTGATCATGAAAAAAGTCATGCACAATGTTTCTCTGATTGGTTAATCACCCTGTCAAACATTCTGATGACGAAATATACATCTTTTTTTACACTTCATCAGCCAAAACTTGCGTGAACTTGAGTGACCTTAGGGTTGATCAAGTTGAACACCTGTCAGATTATACTGTAACTTACAGTATTTCTTAAAATAGCAACACTTTTTTTTTTTTACCGATAATCATTTTAAATATTAAGTAGTTGTATAATTTGTTTGTTTGTTTTATTGGATTAAATTTACGGTAGTAGAAATGAGTATCTGTGTGGGAAAGGGATTTTGAGAAGAAATGCGGTAAGTAGACAACATGGACAAAAGCTATAGGGGAATGGATAAACTAAAGAATATGCGTAATTACAGGAGCATGGGTAACATGTTGCTGTTGGTACCAGTTTTGACTGGATGACTAAATAACCCAGCAGACAGTTTTGTTTTCTTATAAGTCTGGCACAGATTTTAGATGCGCCCATGGCCCTTTGCTGCCGATTTTCCTGCGCCATTCTCATTTTTTTAGCGCCAATGGCGCAAAATCGCGTCCTCGGCAGATCTCTGCAAGATTAATATTTTAATAGTTGTGTATATTGTTATAAGTGCTAAATATAGCATCTATCAGTGTTGTAAAATATGCCAAGTTTCAGGGACATCACGCTACAAGTGAAAAAGATACAAGAAAAAAATTACCCTAAAATGTCAGGAGTGTAACACTTTTAGTGTGACATTTTACACAAATGATGATTCTCTATTCCTGATACAGAAAAACAGTTTCTTAAATGACAATTTTTGTCACTTATGTTATATATCTTATTCTCTCGCAATTGCTTTTTCCTATTTTTTTTTTGTAAAATGTAGGTATCCCACTTGGTTATCCAGTCACTAAAGTCAGTTGTTGTAAAATAAAATGTACTTTAAAAAAAGCATGGTTTGTACTAACAGTAAAGTTTCTGCTTATATCTTTGTTATTAAGAGCTTTTCCTTGCTTCTAACATTTTGACCATTGTATATAGTTAAGAATATAAATTCTCTTTTTTCTATGCTATAAATGTTATTGACTCGGTTTCGATTCAAAATAATGACAGTGCTCAGTGTCAGGAGTGTAACATCTTGTACTTTTACTGATTTCCTTATTGCATATAAGGTGTTATATTAATATATTCTTTCTTTTTCAAAAACATGAGTCCAAGTGATGTCAGCAGTGACATAAGTTCAAGTTAACTAAATCATGCACTTTCTGTACATGATCATCAGTGATGTCAGGAGTGTAACACTATTTTTGCCATCTTTTAACCTTGTAACGATTTCATGAATATACCATATAAATTTCGTATCTAAATATGATTCTTGCCACTATTCATAAGGAAAAGTAATTAAGTATTTGTTTTTTTTTTTTTTTTTAAGAAACCACAATGCTTAAGTTCTGTTTTTAGCATATTTACTTAAATAACATCAAAATTTCCTAAATGTCTACTATTGACAAGTATAATCATTGAAATTTAATGATAATACACTAAAGAAATTACTGAGAAATTAAAATCATGTATATACTCTTTGCAGAACAAAGCATTTATATACAATTATTGAAGATTAAGTATGCAATATAAGTAAAATACAGTATGTGAGAATAGTGAAAAGTGTTACACTCCTGACATTTTTTTCTTTTTCGGCAATTGTAGTTAACTTTGTTTTATTTTCAGCAGACTAATAAACAATTGAAGTAGATATCAAAAAAAAACACTATAAAACTTATGTAAACAAATATATATGCCAATTAGAATGATGGGATTTGATATTATTTCTAAACAGTAACCAAGTCAATAACAATAAAGACATACAGTAATTTTTTTTTCATCTATGATACTTACTGTTAATTCTGCAATCATTTTTGTTATCACATTGTTTGAATGCAGTTCCTGCATATTCAATTTTCAGTTATTGTAGTCCTTAGTCTTTTAAAATACTAACCATTTGAATTCTGCCAAAACACTGCATTTTTGCTCTGCTTTTGCTTAATACCTAACCTTAATAAAGTAGTAGCTAGTAATACTAACAATTGTGAGAGAGAGAGAGACTAACCTGAGAGGTATGCTTACAGACAGTCTTATATATATAACTACTCAACAGAGCATAAAAATGAAACTCTAAGCGAGTTTGAAAATAAAATTCGCAGAAAGGGTTGGAAGATTCCAGGTACTTCTCCTGATGACTGCAATTGTTTCTTTTGGGCCAGCAGTGATCAGTTACATGCCCTTGGGATGACTCAACAAAGTCACACTCAGTTGAGAAGCAAAGTAATTCAATGCAAGATAAACAAAAAGGAACAATTAACATAGAAAACTTATACTTGTCTTAAGTATTTCATTAAAAAATATTTTAAATCAATATTTTAAGATATTAAGTCTCTTGCCTGAATGTGTCAGGAGTGTAACACTCAAATGTTAAAGTGAAATTGTGCATTTTTTTGTGAAATAGAATCTTCATGGTCATTTTTGATTTTTCCATTGGTTAAACAGAAACTTAATTAATATTTATAATTTTTTCCATTTTTTTCAATTTTTTACATTTTAAAAATTTTTTTGGTTTTTAAATTAACTTTATATCTTTTCTCTAAAAAAATTTCAAATGTTAAACCTATCATAGTTTTTTAAACACAGTGGGGTTTTTACTGTTTTCTTTTTTTATTTTACCTCAAGTTTTTGTTTAAAAAAAACTATTATAAAATTAAATATCAACTCAGACTTTACCGAGAAAAACTAGAACATTAGTCTGTAACATCTGATATATTGTACTACTGACTGAGCTATCCGGTTGCTTACACACTTTCTGAATCTCCTAATTAGTGAACTGTTCTGAACCATGACATACCTTCCCCCCCCCACTATATTGAAATTCATCCTATATTGAATATCTAAGGGTTACAGAGAAATGAGATTTAAATTCTTGTGATGAAATTGAGATTACAGAGAAATGTTGCAATTGATTGATTAATTGATTATATTTATTTATACATTCAGGAACATAGCACATGATACAATAATAAAATAAAATCATACAGTTAAGAACTAACATATAAATCTATATATATAAAATGAGATCATAAAACATCATAAAAGAGCACACATTTATCATAAAAAATAATAAGATGTACTATGCACCTATGGATAGCCCATTAAGCTAAAAGCTTTTTGCGACGGACGCGCCCTCAGGCGCGTTCAGAGCTAAGTCATCTACACATGGGATTTCGTTGGCTACACTTGCGCAATGTGTTCCTTAAAACCAATTAACAGCCCAAAAATAGTACTGAATTTGATCCTTCAAAACTCCCATACTTTGTCTGGTTTTTCTTAATGTCTTCCATATTTAAGCCTTTTCAATTTCAAATTAAGTTATCCAAGTTAAAATATGAACATATATATTGATAAAAACGTTGTAGTCCCGTAGTATTATTGTGCAATATGCAAATTACGCTGAAACGATTTTTACCGCTGTCGAAAAAGTAGGACAGCAAATTTACTACAATAAAGGTGTAACCTCTGAGTTCAAGACATTATTAGTAGGAATAGATATTTCTACATTATACAAAACATTATTATTAACAAATCAAAAGTTTTTCGTGACTCTAGGATAACTCGCGCATTAAATAAAGAAGAACTATTTTCGTGACTCATACCGCGGGTTTTAGCTGAAATTCAGCAGTTATTAATATATTAGATACAGTACAATGGCTAGTATAAAATATCTATTTTTGAAAATGCATGTAAGACACTTTTCCGCCATGTAGTCTTTCATGGTAAGGAAGTTATAATATCAGTTCTACTTCCGATTCTTGTGGTTTGTTTACATATTTTACTAGGTCATGATATGAGTTAACCTTCGCTATTCTAAAAATAGATTCTGCTTCACCTGTTCTGATTTTTGGACAGGCGATTAGGAAGTACACATTAAACATGTAATTAATAAACCAGCGGATTGTAATGCAATACTTTTAGAAATGCTATACAATGGTAAGAAGCAAACAAGTTGAAAATGGAATTTAGTGTGAAGTTGAAAAGGACAACTAAACACTGTAGTGCTTAAGTGACATTTAAATTAAAATAAAAACGATGTGCTCTGGCCTCTACATCTTTACCTTGTAAATAAAAAAAATCTAAGAAATACACTATTAATTGCTGATGATTTAACCAATTTTTTTTTTTAATGAGACATGTCCAAGAGAAATAAAAATACAAATGACTTATATTTTATTGTCTGTATGCCCACTATGATATAACACGAAGCAATTCTAAATAGCATTCTCAAATGTATAATGTATTATGTTTGAAGTTTCTTTGCCTGGATTTATTTTAGAAATATTTCGTTGATAGTTTTTTTTCTATTTACATATCATTTCTTAGAATAAATCGATAAGGACACTGATTTACAAGTTTGACCAGAGTTTTTAGGCATAAATTTCATTCTGTATTTAAGTGCTTGAAAGTAGAAAATCTGAATTATATCAATGTGGGACACAAAATATATTGCTCTACAAATCTCGAACTTGTATGGAACAAATTTTCTCTGTTATATATTTTGTGTTTTGTTTTTGTTTTGTTTTTGTTTTTTCTAAAAGAAGCCTTAATGTCTCTCCGGTTGCATGTCCGTCGCATTCAGTGCTGCAGCACTTTGATTTCCAATGGGGTCCATAGAAATAAAAATAAAATACATAGCTACAACCCTTTCCCCCCTATAAATAAACAAATAAAACTAATCTAACTAACTTTGGTCAAGAATTTAGTTGAAAAAGAAAATATATTTATAAAAGTATGCCCTTTTCTTAAAAAAACCTAATATCAAATCATATTAAAACACGACAAAATCAAAGTGCATTTGATTTTCACTTTTTATACGCCCGTTTGAAAAACGGGACGTATTATGGGAACGCCCCTGGCGGGCGGGCGGTCGGGCGGGAGGCCGGCGTCCAATTTTGTCCGGAGCATATCTCCTACATGTATGGAGGGATTTTAATGAAACTTCATAGAAATGTTCACCACTATGAGGAGCAGTGTCGCGCACATGAACCAGGTCTCTAGGTCAAAGGTCAAGGTCACACTTAGAGCTCATTGAAAAATGCTTGTCCGGAGCAAAACTTCCACATGTATAGAGGGATTTCAATATTACTTGGCACAAATGTTCACCATTGTGAGGCAGAGTGTCGCGCGCAAGATTCAGGTCCTTGCTGCCAAGGTCAAGGTCACACATAGAGGTCAAAGTTCAGATAAAAATATGAAGATGTGTATATGGACCATTTAGTCATCATTTATTGAGGGATTGTAACACAAATGGTCATTATCAAGACTATGGCTGTGATACATATAATTTAGGTCAATATATACAAGGTCAAGGTCACTAAAGATGATGAAATATCCAGATTTTGTCCGGAGCATATCTCCTACACGCATGGAGGGATTTTAATGAAATTTCATAGAAATGTTCACCATTATGAGAAGCCGTGTCACGCACATGAACTAGGTCTCTAGGTCAAAGGTCAAGGTCACACTTAGAGCTCATTGAAAAACGCTTGTCCGGAGCAAAACTTCCACATGCATAGAGGGATTTCAATATAACTTGGCACAAATGTTCACCATTGTGAGGCGGAGTGTCGCGCACAAAATTCAGGTCCCTGCAGCTAAGGTCAAGGTCAAACATAGAGGTCAAAGTTTAGATAAAAATATGAAGATGTGTATAGGGACGATTTAATCATCATTTATTGAGGGATTGTAACACAAATGGTCATTATCATGACTACGGCTGTGACACATGTACTTTAGGTCAATATATGCAAGGTCAAGGTCACTAAAGATGGTGAAATATCCAGATTTTGTCTGGAGCATATCTCCTTCATGTATGGAAGAATTTTTATAATACTTTATGGAAATGTTCACCACCATGATATGTATTGCTCCATGCATGATCCAGGTCTCCAGGTCAAAGGTCAAGGTCACACTTAGAGCTCATTGAAAAACGCTTGTCAGGGGCAAAACTTCTACATTCATAGGGGGATTTCAATATAACTTGGCACAAATGTTCACCATTGTGAGGCTGAGTGTCGCAGGCAAAATTCAGATCCCTGCGACCAAAGTCAAGGTTACACATAGAGGTCAAAGTTCAGATAAAAATTTGAAGATGTGTATACTATACACTATAGGGACCATTTAGTCATCATTTATTGATGGATTGTAGCACAAATTGTAACTATCATGACTACAGGTGTGACACATTTAATTTAGGTTAATATTTGCAAGGTCAAGGTCACTGGAGATGATTAAATATCCAGATGTTGTCCGGAACATATTTTCTACATGCATGGAGGAATTTTAATGTTACTTTATAGAATTGTTCACCACCATGAGACGTAGTGCCCTGCACATGAACCATGAGCTCATAGAAAAACGCTTGTCTGGAGCAAAACTTCTACATGCATAGAGGGATTTCAAAATAATTTGGCACAAATGTTCATAATTGTGAGGCTGAGTGCGGTGCATAAAATTCAGGTCCCTGCGACCAAGGTCAAGGTCACACATCCTGTGCATATCTTCCCTACTGATTTGTTTTAAGGTTCATTTAACAACACAGTGCCAAGAATAAAAACTTGCTTGCTAGATAACACTTATCCATAATGCCCCCCCATCTCCATCTAAAGCTTTGGTAAACGGGCGTATTTTGTGACTATGGCACCCTTGTTTAATATATTATTGAATTCTGTATGCAACTTTTTTTTAAAAATGAATAATTCTTTTTAATTAATGTTACAATGTTGCTACTGGGACACAATACTGAAATGCTATTGTTCAAAATTTGCATCTTAACTCCCTGCAATTTTTGCTAAGTCTCTTTCATTTAAGTTAGTGTTGAATTCTAAGTTCACATAAGGTTTCAGTGAAAGATAGACATTCCAAATTTAAAAAGTGAAAGAATAAAATGGCTTCAATGTTAAAGAATATAAATTTTAATCGTTAAAAAGTATTCCTAAAAGCCACACATTTATCGAAAACAACTTTCAAAACGGTGAATTTTTAATTGTGAATTGCACTATTTTCAACTGTTTTACATAAAAAGAACTGAAAAAGTATGCCTAAGCCCAAGCTGTTCCTGTCTTTTCCTAAAAAACAATCTCTGACATACAATGTTGCCCATGGATTGTCACATGCTCATCTTAAATAAGCTTTGTCAAAACAAAAATTGTGTCATAATTATAATAGAGATGCATCAAAATAAAATACTAGAGGATATAATATTATATGTAATGAACAGTATCAATTTGAAATTAAGCTTGAAATAAGATTGGAGCTTTACCAACCTACACATCAAATTATAACTTTAATTCACGATCTTGTTTCCCTTAATTTTTAAGCTGGCCATATCATTTTGTATTGTGATAAATTATATGAGCCGCATCACGACAAAACCAACATAGTGGGTTTGCGACCAGCATGGATCCAGACCAGATAGCGAACAGCATGGATCCTGATCAGACTGCGCGGATGCGCAGGCTGGTCTGGATTTATGCTGGTCGCAAACCCATTATGTTGGTTTTGTTGTGGCGCGGCTCAATTATTATTATGTTTTCAAGGTGTTCAAGAAGCTAAAAGTAAAGGTGCTACATATAGACTGGGGCCTGAACTGGAAATTTGGTGAGCTTTTAATAATTGAATTTTCTGTTATATATATATATACTCTTAATTTTACTCAAGTCAGCAATGATTTTAAAATAATGAATGATGTTGGATGTTAACTTTAGTCTTTCCAGCTGCATTGTGGATCTGAAATATTTTTTATATACCAAAATACAGTACAATATAACCCACTTTAAACTTGTAATGTTTTGCTATATGCAAACAACCATTTATATTGGGCCATATAACCTTTCAAAAATCATTATAACCAATATTATACTGTTGACAACAGCTGAATCATTGATAATTTGATTCTTGCATTTTAAGGTATAAGAGATAAGAATGAGATGAATAGTTATAATTATATTGCTAGAAGTCTGATGTCTTTCAATACCACACAATGGCATCAATGATTTATTACTATTTTACAGTGGGTATGGCTGTGCTGATCATTTTCATGAGAATGATACTTTCCTACACTCATGGCAGGTCCTGGCTGAACTTCTAGTCGCACCCGAGTGTCAGAACATCATCTGTGATGTAGGCATGTAAGTATAAGGTGGTTATATTATAATTACTGTTCTGATAACAACATAATCGTAAGTCTTTGGTTACTTTTTCTATTCCTTGAATGCATTTTAAAGATTAAACATTTTTTTTTTGTTTAATCAATTTGGAATATGAGAGGAAAACGGTGGCCAAAGTTATAATTTATGATGCCATAGGTAGTTACTTTGAGCCCTACTTCAGATCGTAACCAAGTTTCTTATATTGGAATTACTTTAAGTCATAACCATGTTTTTTAAATTGGACCAATACTGATATGTTACTCCACGAAATTGAAATTCAAGATTATGAAAAGTAGTTTGAAACTTTCCTTTCAAAGGCACTGAAAATTATAGTGTCTGTGAAAAATACATACTCAATTTGATGTAGTTTGTGCATTGGATTTGGAAGTAAGGCTGGCAATAGCCCTATTATCACTGGTTTAGAAGTTTTCAATCTGCAGAACAAACAATATTGTTACAAGATTTTTAAGAAATTTAGCTTCAGCTAACTGGAAGACCTAGCACAAAATAGTGGCATGCAAAAGATTTTCTAACAAATTCTGTACCTTATCTATAATATTGAATCGTTTATTCAACTGTAACAACTTTATTGTATAAACACTTATCTTTCACAGGTTATATTGATTTACAATAACAGTAATTGGGTTACTATTGATTGATACAAAGTTGGGTAATCAAACATTGATTAATACTTCAAGTCCATGATGTATTGATTCCTTATCTGGTCTATCATTTTCTTTTTTCCATAAAATAGATACAGTGTTTTTAAAGGACCAATTTATATTGACTAGTTTCAGTATTAGGTGCTAAAATTGTTTCTGAATAACATGTTTTATTCTGTCAAGTTTATGCCTTAAAAAAGTGTCTGCAATATATAAATCCTTCTTATTTCTTCAGTTCTCATTTGGTACATGATTTCTTCATGCACAAAACGGCAGTTTTGGAATTCTTTCAAGAGAGAAAATTGAAATGATAAAAAAAGTTGAGTCACAATAACATGGTTGTTGATAATAATAATAATAATAATAATAATAATAATAATGATGATAATAATAATAAACTCTTTATTTAACAAAGGTAGCGTACACATATTAAGAAAATATATCAAAGTATCAGAGAAAACACATAATGCAAAATCTTATTTTTAACAAGACTTTTAGTAAGGGTAAAAATACAAGCAATTTATGATAATGATTGCAAAAAATATCTGATTGTTTGATAAGTTATACTCAGTTTGAATAATTCATATTTACAAATATGTATATGCCTGTTACACAATTATAAGTATCACATAATCAATTATGTCACACAATTTATAGTTTATATTTTGTAGGTGTGTTTTTAGCTCACCTGTCACAAAGTGACAGGGTGAGCTTTTGTGATCGCTTTTCGTCCGTCCGTCCGTCGTCCGTCCGTCGTCCGTCCGTAAACTTTTGCTTTAAATGACATCTCCTCATAAACCACTGAGCCAATTTCATCCAAACTTCACAGGAATGTTCCTTTGGTGGTCACCTTTTAAAATTGTTCAAAGAATTTAATTCCATGCAGAACTCTGGTTGCCATGGCAACCGAAAGAAAAATCTTTAAATATCTTCTTTTAAACAACCCTAAAAGCTAGAGCTTAGATATTTGGCATGAAACATCTTCTATTGAGTGTCTACCAAGTTTGTTCAAATAAAAGCCCTGGGGTCAAAATTGGCCCCGCCCCAGGGGGTCATTGATTTTCCCTATATGCATATAGTAAAAACTTAAAAAATCTTCTTTTAAAGAACCCAAAGAGCTAGAGCTAAGATATTTGGCATGAAACATCTTCTAGTGAGTGTCTACCAAGTTTGTTCAAATAAAAGCCCTGGGGTCAAAATTGGCCCCGCCCCAGGGGGTCATTGATTTTCCCTATATGCATATAGTAAAAACTTAAAAAATCTTCTTTTAAAGAACCGTAAGAGCTAGAGCTTAGATATTTGGCATGAAACATCTTCTAGTGAATGTCTACCAAGTTTGTTCAAATAAAAGCCCTGCGGTCAAAATTGGCCCCGCCCCAGGGGGTCATAGATTTTCCCTATATGCATATAGTAAAAACTTAAAAAATCTTCTTTTAAAGAACCATAAGAGCTAGAGCTTAGATATATGGCATGAAACATCTTCTAGTGAATGTCTACCAAGTTTGTTCAAATAAAAGCCCTGGGGTCAAAATTGACCCCGCCCTAGGGGGTCATAGATTTTCCCTATATGCATATAGTAAAAACTTAAAAAATCTTCTTTTAAAGAACCCAAAGAGCTAGAGCTAAGATATTTAGCATGAAACATGTTCTAATGGGTGTCTACCAAGTATGTTCAAATAAAAGCCCTGGGGTCAAAACTGGCCCCGCCCGGGGGGGGGGGGGTCATTGATTTTCCTTAAAAGTGTATAGCAAAAACTTAAAAATCTTCTTTGAAAAAACCCAAATAGCTAGAGTTTAGATATTAAGCATGAAACATCTTTAAGTAAATATCTACAAAGTTTGTTCAAATAAAAGCCCGGGGGTCAAAACTGCCCTGCCCTAGGGGTGTCATTGTTTTTTACTATATGTGTATAGTAAAAACTTTAAAAATCTTCTTTTAAAAAACCCAATGAGCTAGAACTTAGATGTTTAGCATGAAACAATCTTCTTATGGGTGTCTACCAAGTCTGTTCAAATAAACAAATATAAACCCTTGGGTAAAAATTGGCCCGGGGGTGGGGGGGGGCTATATACAGGTGAGCGACCTCAGGGCCATCATGGCCCTCTTGTTGTATTTTAAATATACATGTACTAGCTCAAATCATAAATACTAGTATCATAGTGTTTAATAGTGTTATTGTATTCAAATGTAAATATATTGAAATTAAGAGCTTATTTTTCAAAGTTACTTCATAATAATATATTGAAAAGATTATTTTAAAATTGCACATTTGTACTTGCTATATTTCTGCTGTTAAAAGATCTGTTAGATTAAACTTATATTGATTAAACTTCTATAAATTGTACATGTACTTATATTGATTAACATTATATTTATTCTCATTTCTGTTATATTTTTTGTTGTTTATTTCAGGCCAGTGATGCATAAGAATGTGGCTTACAACTGTAGGGTCATCTTTCTTAATAAGTAGGTATAATACAAATAAAATATAAACTGGTTCAGGCATCTCCAATATGTTAATGTACAAATGTATTATCAATTACCAAGGCTGTTATTCTGATCTAAAATGTTTTAAAAAAATGTTTAATTTCTTATCCATAAATTTAACTCACAACATAGCTTTTTATCTGATGATTTTTTTTAAAAAAGTGCTTAAAAGCTGCTTCAGTCAATCAATTATCAAGTACATTATTCTGTCCACGATTCTATTCTTCACCAATGTTTAGCTTTGCAGTTGATTTTCTCCCTATAAAAACTATAAGATATTTAACAATTATTAATTTCATCAGATACAACGCTTATATGACTGATATTGTAACAACAGTTTTAACTGGCAGTTTGATGGAAAGCTTACTTGAATGATAACTAAAAAATGCTGTTTCTGTTCTGAAATTTACTTCTATTCAATTTGATGATAGAATGAAAATTTTTAAAGTGTTCAACACAAATTTGCGATGCATGAATAGCACTATCATAGATTCATAGTATGTTATTGTATATGTAGGAAGATCTTGTTGATACGTCCGAAGATGATGATGTGTAATGATTATAACTATCGAGAGACACGTTGGTTTACTGCATGGAGGAAAGAAAGGGAAACTGAAGAATTTTATCTACCTAGAATGATACAAGATATAACAGAACAGGTATAGAAAAATATTTGAGCCGTGTCATGACAAAACCAACATAGTGCGTTTGTGACCAGCATGGATCCAGACCAGCCTGGGCATCCGCGCAGTCTGATCAGGATCCATGGTGTTGGCTTACAAACCCTATAACAAGTAGAGAAACTGATAGCGAACAGCATGGATCCTGATCAGACTGCGCGGATGTGCAGGCTGGTCTGGATCCATGCTGGTCGCAAACGCACTTTGTTGGTTTTGGAATGGTGGGGCTCAAGTAAGTACAAGTATAGTGTAAGCTCTGTAGAGGGGCCGCCTGTAGAGCAAAAACCTTTTATAACAACAAATTTTTCCTGAAGTGTGATTTTACAATATATGTAACAAAGCAAATTCCAGTTATTAATTAAATAAATATTGTATTTATTTAAGTAACTTAACATAAACATTTTTCAAGTTTTTTTGTTTTTCCTAAGCAACAACCCTGAGAAACAACCAATATCTCTGTCTTCCAAAGGGTGGTGTTAAGCAGAGGTTATACTATGATATATACTGTTACATTGTGTTAAATCTTTGTCTTCTAAAGGGTGGTGTTAAGCAAAGGTTATACTATGATATATACTGTTACATTGTGTTAAATCTTTGTCTTCCAAAGGGTGGTGTTAAGCAAAGGTTATACTATGATATATACTGTTACATTGTGTTAAATCTTTGTCTTTCAAAGGGTGGTGTTAAGCAAAGGTTATACTATGATATATACTGTTACATTGTGTTAAATCTTTGTCTTCCAAAGTGTGGTGTTAAGCAAAGGTTATACTATGATATATACTGTTACATTGCGTTAAATCTTTGTCTTTCAAAGGGTGGTGTTAAGCAAAGGTTATACTATGATATATACTGTTACATTGTGTTAAATCTTTGTCTTCCAAAGGGTGGTGTTAAGCAAAGGTTATACTATGATATATACTGTTACATTGTGTTAAATCTTTGTCTTTCATTCAAAGGGTGGTGTTAAGCAAAGGTTATACTATGATATATACTGTTACATTGTGTTAAATCTTTGCAAAGGTGTGTTAAGCAAATACTATGATATATACTGTTACATTGTGTTAAATCTTTGTCTTCCAAAGGGTGGTGTTAAGCAAAGGTTATACTATGATATATACTGTTACATTGTGTTAAATCTTTGTCTTCCAAAGGGTGGTGTTAAGCAAAGGTTATACTATGATATATACTGTTACATTGTGTTGTAAATGGATATTCACTAAAAACATGCTCTCCTTATTTTTTTACTCTTAATTAAGACCAATCTATTACTGTTTCAGCGATTTTACTACCATTATATTGTTCTTAGTCAATTGGGATGGCCTTATGTAGGGTGTTAATTTTACTGATGATAAAATAATCATGATAAAATATGCTTGCATTGTGGTATTTTATTTCCTTATTTTATTTTTTCTAGATAAAAGTTCCAATAGGAGATGCTGTTATAGCTACATTAGATACATGTATAGGTAGTGAGATTTGTGAAGAACTGTGGAATTGTGAAAGGTGAGTAGGAACTTGCTGTTGTGAGCAATAAGTTTAAGCTGATGTATGTAAATATTATGTTTAGTTTTTAGGAGACATTGTGCAGATATTTGCATTTTCATTCAAGAAATATTTTATGATCATATCCAAAAAATAAAATTTGTATTGTTTGTATCAATATTTGAAATGTAGTAGAAAATGTGCCTATTGCAAATCAAACTAGACATTAAGAAATTGCAAAGAATTTCTTTTTAAACTTATTATAAAAATCAGCCAAAAACAAACATTTCAAAAAATTCTTCAGCAATTTATAGAAAATTATAATTTGATTGTAATTTGTTTATTCATTATCTCATGAATTTATCTTGTTTGTTTTAAGTTTATATTGTTATTAAGGTGTCATTGTTTATTATAGTCGTCATGTGAACATGGCTCTAGATGGTGTAGAGATTATCACTAACAGTAGCGGCAGTCATCATGAACTGAGGAAAGCTTACGTCAGAGTAGACCTCATCAAATCAGCAACCATGAAGGTATTTCTTTATCATATCATTATGATGATGTTTTGATCGAGTTTTTGAAATGGATTGAAAATAAGTTGTAAAAAATGTAAATATTTTTTTCCGTCCACTGTCCGTAATACAGAGTAGATTCTGTATTTGTCTAGTATTCATCCAGTTCATTCAGTAAAGGTTTTTGATAAGATGTTTTTCTATTATTTATTACATATTTATGTTACCAGAAAACAATAACTTATATTAAAAAAGCAACAATAAATAATTAACAAAACCGCACAACATATACGATAAGTGGATCTTCTATTGTATTACATGGACTGGTCGGAAGAAAATGCTTCCCTGTAAAAACAGAGCAGATACATAGTGGTTATTGTTTCTGCCTCTCAAACCTGGGATTGTTGGTTGGAGCCACGGTGGTTTTTTTTTTTAAATGACACAGACACTGGTTATTCTGGGAAGGGGACTAAAGACGGATTAAAGGGCAGTTTAAAAATTGTCATTCACTTTAAATTGTTTTGTGGTCATTTTTTAAAAAACTAAAAAACCTTTGGATGGTTTTTGTGGGGTTAATAATAACATCCAAAATTTTAGGGGTCTGCTAAAAGAAGTTGAACTACTACCGGTTTCTCAGTATATTTATGAAAAAATTATAATGTATTCGTGTTTGATGAAAATTGATGTAAAAATAACCTAAAACCTGTACTTGTACAAATTACTACATGACTTTTCTAATCACTAGTATATATTCCTTATATCAGTGTGGTGGAGTATATGTTTTTGCTAACCTGATGGGCTGTGATGGAGAGAGGGTATTCTATGATGGATGTTCCATGATAGCTGTTAATGGTGAAATAGTGTCTCAAGGCCCACAGTTTACTCTCAGAGATGTGGTAAGTTCTTGTTTTATTTTAAATCTTTATTATTCATTATTTATATTGTTTTGGAAAAATATTCTGTTGAAAATATTAAATAGAGGATATTTGTTTAGTTTAGTGTAAGATCGGAATATATTTCACCAAGTGAGCACCAAAAGGTATATTTTACAAGTGGCGCAGCCACAAGTGAAATATGAAATTTTGGTGTTCACAATGATAATACAACGTGACGTCATTTACGACGTCATGTCATTAAGTTGGTTCCTAGTTCTGTGCACGCTGGTATTTCACTGAAACAACGTAAGGGGCTAAAATTCAAAACAGTGAAATTATCAAATTGGTAATTTCACTGTTTAAAACAGTGAAATTACCAGTTTTATATCACTGATATATTTCTATAAACCACCAAAAAGCACGTAATAAATGAATTTTCTTGTTATTTTTCAGCAAAAAACAGTTTATTATTGGAAAGCTTTAAAAAAAGTTTTCCTTTAAATTATTATTAGTCTTTAATAAAATTAAAAAATTGCAGTTGTTGCAGTAGTATTGGGTTTTTATGAAAAGCTTTTCACCCCGTCAAATGTTGATTTGTTTATCTTATTGTTTAAATTTTTCTATTTTTGGAGAAAAAATATTTTCTGTTCGTAAAAGTATTTTAACCTTTTAAAAATTACGTTTTGACCCTTTCTTTTTTATGCCCCTTTTAAAAATTCAAATTATAAAAGGACTTAATGTGGTCCAAAACCCAAAAAAAAAAAACTGAATTTCTTTCTAAACGCTGGGCATTTATAAATAAATGTATGCAAAAGATAAATACAAAATATACAAAGAATTTAATTGTTGATTATAAATCATATTTTTGTGCTGCTCTTAGGCCTATTTGAGTGAGAAGTGTTTCCTTTGGCATTTGTCGCAATTAGAATAATTGAGCCGCGTCGTGACAAGACCAACATAATGGGTTTGCAACCAGCATGGATCCAGACCAGCCTGTGCATCCGCGCAGTCTGATCAGGATCCATGCTGCTCGCTTACCAACTCTATTACAAGTAGAGAAACTGATAGGGAACAGCATGTATCCTGATCAGACTGCACGGATGCGCAGGCTGGTCTGGATCCATGCTGGTCGCAAACGCACTATGTTGGTTTTGTCATGACGTGGCTCAATTGTTCAACCAAATGAGCGGAAATTTTGCACACAAGTTATTGGTCTAGAACATTAATTTGAAAAATTATTTTAAGTCCCATCATGCTCCCAAAAAATGCAATGGTGTCCCTTTAGTTTAACTATATTTATAACAGACTGTCAATGTAGCTACAGTTGATTTAGAAGATGCAAGAGCATACAGAAACTCCATGAGAAGTTTCTGTGAAAGGGTAAGAAACTAAGACATTTAGATAAAAGTAGTGTCTCCATATAACATTTGATAATTGTTTTTTATTTTGACTGTCATTGTTTTTCAACTACTTTAGGTTACCTGAGACCAATAAAGACAAGCCCATTGTACATAGCTTGTTCTTTCTTTTTTAAACTTTAAAGTGTACATGTTTTATGTCATTGTTTGCTTGTTTCAAGTTTTGATTCTTGTGAACTAAAGTTTTATTTGTTTTCAATGAGGAATAAGTCAAACAAAGAATAGCATACTATTGAAGTGACAATAATTTCTTTAACAAATCAAATGTCATTGTCTATGCCACCACTGCTTTACCCTTAATTTATTTATTGTTATTTTAATAAACTATAAAAATTCAATGACTCTTAGTCAGTGTTTGAAAGATAATACATTTGTTACATAAAATGATAAATGCTAATTATATAATATTGTAATCTTTTCTAGAATGCTATAGCGCCATCATTTCCACGTGTGCATGTAGATTTTTGTTTATCGAGTGATGATTACTTCCTGCCAACAACTCATCCTATAGACTGGCAATACCATTCACCAGAGGAAGAAATCAGGTATTGTTAGTTAAATTTTGAAATATGTTTTCAAATGAAATGTTTTCAAATGAAAACAATGTAATGGTTACAGGATTGTTGAATTTCAACAGGAAGCTGGCCCTAGACAATTTTCACTACATAACACTTCATCATTTCTCAACCGTTTCCAGCCATATAATCTCAGAATGATTATCATTAAATGCTCTGGCACATATTGTTGTCACTTCGTGTTATGCAGACTGTTTTTTTGCAGAATAGCCTGGTGGTGAATATTTGGCCATAATCATACATGTGAACTCTCCCACTTTTAGCAGGAGACTCCCACTTTCTGCAGCCTTATTTTCAAAGATTTTTCTTAAAATAAGGGTTTTTTTCAAAAATTGAAGAAATCTCCCTTTTTTTTTGATGTCAAAACTTTTTTCTTTGTTTATTGCAAATTCTAAAATCAGAAAAATCTCCTACTTGATCATCAAAAAAAAGTTCACATGTATGCATAATATATTTACATAAAACCTGGTTTTCTGACATTTTCCTGTCATTTGTTCTTACTGTAGACTCGTTCTCAGGTTTAATTTTGAATGGCTCAAACTTAACTTTTGTAAGCAGTCTAGTGGATTTCCTCACTTTAATAATTGGGATTAGACCTTAGCCTCTTGATTTGAATGTGATGTAAGTACAGATTTTTGGCAAAACTGCACGATTTTAAAAAAGATTTCCATTGGAAAGAGGCCCTTCATAGGCCACTGTTATAAAGTTGAAAATTCACTGCAGTCAAGAGGAAAGAAATTACCTATATATGACTATATGACATGTTGTCCTAAAATCTTGATACATCTGTAGTGATAAATTTGTATCTATTTACAGTTTAGGTCCAGCTATATGGTTATGGGACTATTTACGACGTAGTGGTCAGGGTGGATTCTTTCTGCCTCTCAGTGGAGGAATAGACAGTTCTAGTACAGCTTGTATTGTGGCCTCTATGTGCAGGCTGGTCTGTGCTGAAGTACAGAAAGGAGGTATGTATTTCCTAGGTGACCATAACTGTACATTGGCACCTTAGTGCAGTAAAAGGTTAACTGCTACTTATATAATAGGAGTTAACCTAGTATTGCACTAAAGTGACAACATTTTCTGTTGTTGCCTCTATGTGCTAGTTTAACTCTGTTGAGTTACAAAGGTAAATGAATAGTATGTACTCCTCCTTTTAAGGTAATGTTTTAGTTTTTATAATTTTTTGTTCAAATGTTTAGGTGAAAAAGATTTGGTATCAATCAAAGTTAACATAAAGATGAGACTATGCTAGAAAACTCATTTGAATGAAACCTTTGACTGATGAGAAATGGTTGTAATGGTGAATGGTGAATAAGAATTTACTTGAAAGAAAGTGTTCAGACTATAATGTGTTTTTTCTACAGATGCCCATGTGTTATCAGATATCAGGAGATTAGTATCAGATCAGGGATATTTCCCAACAGACCCCCAGGAGTTGGCTGGTAGATTGTTTACTACATGTTATATGGGATCAGAGAATTCCTCGGAGGATACCAAGTCGAGGGCAGCACAGCTGGCTAAACAGATTGGCAGGTACTTATATAATATACCTATCTCAATACAGTACATCGCCAATTTTTTTATCTTTGATCTATGACTTTGTACTTGTATGAGAAAATTTTAAACATGACAATGTTTAAGTAGCTAAGATCTTACCTCAGGGTACAAAATTCATATATTCTCTGGAAGCAACATGATATAGTGTATATCAAAATATCATACATTATATGTAACATTTCAGTTTTCATCTGTCAGTGACAATAGATATTGCTGTGGCAGCGGTTATAGGTGTTTTTACTGCTGCACTCAAACTTGTACCAAAGTTTAAAGCCCATGGTGGAGGTCTTAGGGAAAACCTGGCTCTACAAAATGTTCAGGTCTGACGTGTAGTTTAATTATAGCTTAATGAATAAAATTTAGATATACTCTCAATCTTTTCTGATACTAACTTTCATAATTATTAATTTCATAATTATTAATGTTCCACAAAGCTAAGTTTAAAAAAAGAAAAGAATTACAGATGAAATAGAGATTTTAGTAAAACCATTAAGGAAAAAAAAAATTTAAGTCTTACATATAATTTATAATACCAATAGTAAAGCAATTAAGGGGATAAAAAAATTTGAATGTTATAAAGTTAATTTTAAAATTGCCAAGTATTTAAACGAATATCAAATACAATATCAATTCATTAAAAATTTAGATTATGTTTCTTAGAAAATATTTGTCTGCAAAATTGTATCCAATCTCATTAAGAAATATTGATTGATATTTTTTGTTTTCAACAAGTTACATTAACTATTATAGGCTCGTGTGAGAATGGTACTGGCATACTTGTTTGCCCAGTTGAGTTTGTGGGCTCGCGGTAGACCAGGGGGACTGCTGGTACTTGGATCAGCTAACGTTGATGAGGGGTGAGTTTGTTCTCATTACACTGATAGTTTCAAGTTGGAAGGTGCAGAGTAATTAAAAACTGGCACATGGTACATAAGGCAGATTTTTGTTAATTTTGTTTAAGTAATAGATACTGGTATGTAATTAATGAAAAAGAGCGAAAAAACTTGATATCGATAAACAAGTTGACAGCTATTTTGCATAATTTTATAATTGCGAAGCTAGATAGTTGTATTGTGAAAAGTACATATAAGCCATGTCCATATCGATCTACTTTCTTGACTCTGCATTACTAATTAATAAAAAAAGGTCTTTAAGAGCATAAGGTAACATTGTTCTGTATACTACAGCTCCTGTTTCTATATATCTATTTAGCTTTATCAGCGATACCTTATGCTCATTTATTATTCAGTTAAGTGGTCGTTTGTATTTTGTGCCATTTATATCCACTAAAATTACGTTGTAATTTTTCAGTCTCCGTGGTTACATGACAAAGTATGATTGTTCCAGTGCTGATATAAACCCTATAGGAGGTATAAGTAAAACAGATCTACGACGCTTCATAAAGTACTGCAGTGCTAAGTTTAACTTCTCAGCTTTAGAAGGGTACGTGGTCACAGTTATTTTAAGATTTAAATGACTGTTTGAATTTTATATTAATTTATGTTATTCAATATGATTCTTACATTAACCTAGTTTATCATTTGCTTTCTATCTGTTCTTAAACTGGATTCTTCATAAAAGCTAATATTTACTTATTTGTTGATAATTGATTTCTGGTTAGAAAGGTTAAGTCGTAGGTAAATGTTGCATGAACATGCTCTTAGTTGGGAATATAAGCTCATACAAAAGAACAATTTATTTGAAAACTTATGTGACTTACTTTAAGCAGTATAATATTTTATATTAAAGAATTAATACAAGATTTATATAGAAGTAATCTTTACATGCGTGTGTTACAGGATATACAATGCACCTCCCACAGCAGAGTTAGAGCCCCTGGCTGATGGTAAATTAGCTCAAACTGATGAGGTAATGACTATTCTATTATTATTTACAATATTTTCATAAATGAACGAGAAAATTTCACATGCATGGTTATATTTGTTAACATATAAGATTACTAGCTATTTGGAAACATGTTTAACACTTACCTTGCTAAATTTAGCTTTTTGTCTTTATATAATAATATAAATGCATGTCTTGACATTTGCTATGATTGTTTTATTGTAAAGTATTTCTGAATATCAAATAATGCTGTATAAGTAAAGTTAAATAAGAGTTATAATGTTATGTCAACAGGAAGATATGGGGATGACATATGAGGAGTTATCTGTGTATGGTAGATTGAGGAAACAACAAGGTTGTGGACCATACAGTATGTTCTGTAAACTTGTTCATATGTGGAGCTGGCTCACACCTGAACAGGTAAATTAAGATAAATTTCAATAACCAAAGTTGTGTGATAGGTAATTAACTAATAAATTGATTAACATAACTAAATTTCAAAGTTTATCATTGTGGAACTAAGTTAATCTTTCAGAAAGATAATGTATTACAATTGTTGACTGATTTCTTAATTATTGCGTAACTTCGTTAAATTTCAATTATAAAGTTGTCTACTGGATAATTTAAGGTGACAACGGAGTCAATTATCACTAAAAATACCTAAAATGAGATTTTTTGCTTAGTTTATTTATTAACCTTTCTGAATTCATTCATGATTTAATTTTGGAAGCAGTTAGTCCGGAAACTATGTTTTTAAACGTTTTAAAACAATACCTATACTATTTTATCTGCTATGCACGTAACCTGTCAATTATCGATAACGCGCCGCCCCCTATTGAGGCATCAATGAGGGAAATTGGTATTTCCATATTAATCCATGAATTACCGGTTTATTTTTTATAAGTCGATACTACTCGTAATACATGTATCATGAAAATACTGTACATCTTTTATGAATATTTCAACATTATTTCGTCTACCATTTAAGTAGCCATTTTATAAATTAGGAAATTGTCGGCCATGATGTAACAAATAATTTAGCATAGCGGTAAATCGTACGACCATGGAGATGGTGAAAACAATGTAGCTGCCTTTATCTATAATGTATGAAATAATTATTTATATCTCGTAATCTGATAGACATTATATTGAGTTTATGAACTTAAGTACGGATTCAAGAGCTTGCTTTACATTCAACCTCTAACAATGCCAAAAGAAACAGACAACATTTTTATGTGAACGCCTATATATGACAGGTGGTCAGGTGTCCCTTACATATTTCTAAAATATTTGTACCATTGTCTTCGGATGATTAATTGTTATGAATCAATGAAAAGGATATGAAAATATATTTTCAGTGAATGCTTTGAATATATTGTTCACCAGTAAATCGAGCACAATTTATTGAATGTCCCAGAAGAAACTGAATAAAAGTCAAGAACGTCAGATCATATTGATCGAGAAATACCGTTTATTTCTATTTAATTGTGCCAAGCATTTATATGAACTGATCAGACAAAGATATATAATATCCCGTTCTTATTTGTACAACGTACCATGCACGGACTTTAAAACTCTGTCAGGAGCACATGCAGTTTTTCGTTATTTTTATTTATATTTTAACGGAATTTCATACACAGGTATTCACGAATACACTGATATAATATTATAATAATAATAATGGTGATGATGCTAGATAATAATAATGATAAAGTGAAACAATTAGATTAACCGATAGCAGTACAAATGTTGAATGCGTTCCATTTTACCCCACTGAGTACCTCAAATTTTACCGATAGTCACGTGACATGTTCGACAGATACCAGACGGACAGTAAATCACATTAAGATTTGAAGAAATTCTGCTATAAAATGATATTTATCAGCAGCTTTTTAATTGGCCAGATATCGTTTGATCATAAAAAGTTGTTAGAGTATGTTTCCGCATCGTGTCACCCCCTTTGGTGTGATATTTGCGTGTTATACAATAATTTAACGGAAAACGTAGGGGTCTGAGAGAGAACAGCCGATTTATGACACTTCGTTTGATGCGAGTCGGACTAACTTTGAATCTGCATAACTTTTTTAATAAACAAGCAATTAACATGCAGTTTAAAGCACATGAAAGGGAATTCAATTACGGAGGGAACCGTGTCAGGGATTTTTGTTTGCTCAATCAGCGACTTAATTATCTTTAATTACGTAATACGTATGGTGAAAAAAAACGCATAAATTGTTTGACATTACGCAATATTTTTTTGAGAAAAGATAGAAAAAATCTGAGACACGGTTCCCTAGATATTATAATTGTGTTTATCTTCCAAGAGTTTGATGACAAAAATATAAAAAATGACTTTGATATGACAATTTAAAATTATAGAATTTTTTTATCAAAATCAATAATTTACAAAGGCATTTTTTTCAAATATGTTATTTTTTATGAAGATCAAAGACATTTAATTCACAAAATTTAAATAAATAACAATTATTACTTAAATAAGTTGGTTTAAATGACATTTATGGTATTACCAAGGAAAGTGTCTGTTGTCACCTTAAAAAATATTCTTATATAGTTATCTTTTAGAAAGATAATGTATTACAACAGTTGACTTATTTCTTATTGTGTAACGTATTTAAATTGCAATAAAAAATGTTGACTTATATATAAATTGGAAAAGTATACTCCTATGGTTATCTTTTAGGAGATAATTTAATACAACTGTTTCTTAGTGTAAATATGTCTTTCATACACTGGAATATCAACACAAATATATATAACTACCAGTCCTTGATCCTCATAAATCTCGAAATCAACATCATGTTAAAGACGGAGGTGTTGAAAAGGTCTAAAGATGTTTGATGCTTGTTATTCCTAAAAACACTAAATACCTTAAATGGACTTATCCATCATTCAGTCTGGACAAAATTATTCATTTTTGGGGACAATTTCGAAATAGGCACTGAAGGAATAGCAAACATTTCAGACAGTATTCAGGCTAAGCTTAGTCTGCACTTGTGATACTGTTTTATACGGGTATATTCCTTGCCGCTAGCAGGCTGATTATTGAGGATACTTTTTCTGGAGAAAATTGGTCATTGTATGCAAGGGTCACTTTCCGTACATTAATTTTATATTTGCTCTCTGTTTGTTTTGAAGATGTAGATATGTACTACTGAATTGTAGGTTGCTGACAAAGTCAAACATTTCTTCAGAAGTTATTCTATAAATAGACATAAGATGACAACCTTGACCCCTAGTTACCATGCAGAGACTTACAGCCCTGATGACAATCGCTATGACCACAGACAGTTTCTATATAATGTGTCCTGGCCATGGCAGTTTACATGTATAGATACACAGGTATAGTCCATCTTAAATGTTTTCATACATTGCTACAAGGGGTCTCTGTGGCCAAGTATTTATGGTTGCCAACTTCAAACCACTTGCCCCTCATTGAAGATGGTTTGAATCCTGTCAAGATGACACTATCAAGCTAGCTAACAAAATGTCAGTGGTTCCACTCAAGTTCCCACTTGTGCCCGAAATAATTCACAAAAGGGCACCTAAGGTCTTCCTCCACCAGTAAAGCTGGAAAGTCACAGTAACTATGATCTTTACAGTGCTATAATTGTATCTTAAAATCCAACAAAACGAAGAGAGTATGTTTCCACAACTTGTCCATATAGCAGTCATTTTAATTGTCATGAAATACAAATGGTTTCTGGCTAGATACATGTAGGAGAGTTGAAAAATTGTTATATTATTCTATTGAGACATCTTTAACATGTATGAAGTTTTGTTGTGAATATAAGGCTAAGCAGTTATCTTGAAATGTGTATATATCCAGATTGTCAAAGATTTGAGAATATTATTATATTCCTGCTGTTTTTTTATGTTGAAAGACCTAAGTGGGTTCAGAAGGTACATTTTAAGGTCTTAGCACCTCAATTTACTTAGGTATTACCATCCTAATGCATTACTTTCACTTTGAAGAGTATTCAAATAGGCTACAACTACTGTTAACTACATTGAAAATGAGGGCCGTGGGTTCAATCCCCAGAAGGGTCAACCTTTTTTTTCTTTCTTTTTAGCTTTTGTGATCGCTTTTCGTCCGGCGTCCGTCCGTCCGTCCGTCCGTCCGTAAACTTTTGCTTTAAATGACATCTCCTCATAAACCACTGAGCCAATTTCATCCAATTTCATCCAAACTTCACAGGAATGTTCCTTTGGTGGTCACCTTTAAAAATTGTTCAAAGAATTTAATTCCATGCAGAACTCTGGTTGCCATGGCAACCAAAAGAAAAAACTTTAAATATCTTCTTTTAAAAAACCATAAGAGCTAGAGCTTAGATATTTGGCATGAAACATGTTCTTATGGGTGTCTACCAAGTTTGTTCAAATAAAAGCCCTGGGGTCAAAATTGGCCCCGCCCGGGGGGGGGGGGGGGTCATTGATTTTTCCTACAGTGTATATGCATATAGTAAAAACTTAAAAAATCTTCTTTTAAAGAACCCAAAGAGCTAGAGCTAAGATATTTAGCATGAAACATGTTCTAATGGGTGTCTACCAAGTTTGTTCAAATAAAAGCCCTGGTGTCAAAATTGGCCCCGCCCCTGGGGGTCATAGATTTTCCCTATATGCATATAGTAAAAACTTAAAAAATCTTCTTTTAAAGAACCGTAAGAGCTAGAGCTTAGATACTTGGCATGAAACATCTTCTAGTGAATGTCTACCAAGTTTGTTCAAATAAAAGCCCTGGGATCAAAATTGGCCCCGCCCCAGGGGGTCATTGATTTTCCCTATATGCATATAATAAAAACTTAAAAATCTTCTTTTAAAGAACCCAAAGAGCTAGAGCTAAGATATTTAGCATGAAACATCTTCTAGTGAGTGTCTACCAAGTTTGTTCAAATTAAAGCCCTGGGGTCAAAACTGGCCCCGCCCCGGGGGTCATTGATTTTCCCTATATGCATATAGTAAAAACTTAAAAAATCTTCTTTTAAAGAACCCAAAGAGCTAGAGCTAAGATATTTAGCATGAAACATTTTCTAATGAGTGTCTACCAACTTTGTTCAAATAAAAGCCCTGGGGTCAAAATTGGCCCCGCCCCAGGGGGTCATTGATTTTCCCTATATGCATATAGTAAAAACTTAAAAAATCTTCTTTTAAAGAACTCAAAGAGCTAGAGCTAAGATATTTAGCATGAAACATGTTCTAATGGGTGTCTACCAAGTATGTTCAAATAAAAGCCCTGGGGTCAAAACTGGCCCGGGGGGGGGGGGGGTCATTGATTTTCCTTATATGTGTATAGCAAAAACTTAAAAATCTTCTTTGGAAAAACCCAAATAGCTAGAGTTTAGATATTAAGCATAAAACATCTTTAAATAAATATCTACAAAGTTTGTTAAAATAAACGCCCGGGGGTCAAAACTGGCCCTGCCCCAGGGGTGTCATTGTTTTTAACTATATGTGTATAGTAAAAACTTTAAAAATCTTCTTTTAAAAAAGCCAATGAGCTAGAACTTAGATGTTTAGCATGAAACATCTTCTTATGGGTGTCTACCAAGTCTGTTCAAATAAACAAATAAAAGCCCTTGGGTAAAAATTGGCCCGGGGGTGGGGGGGGGCCTATATACAGGTGAGCGACCTCAGGGCCATCATGGCCCTCTTGTTTTCTTTTAACATTATTTATGTATCTCTCATGTCCCATTTGGATAAATTATGCTAAATCTAGTAATAAATATGGTACCTGATATTTTCAAAGTGTAATAAAATCAAAACTAGACGGTAAAAGTATTTCAAGATCAACCAATATACTTCTTTAAAAATTTAGGGAAGCTTTGAAAACAGGCATTCATTTGGGTAAATTTTAAGGATTTTTTTAAATTAGGCTCCCTAAGTAGGAAAATGTTCAGACACATGGTAAAAATGGGTGTGGTAGGGTAACATTTTTATACAGATTTTATAAATTTTATGTAGAAACCGTAATTTTGCTTATGTGGATTGTTAGCTGAATGGTACTATTTGTTTCTTACTAAAAATTAATGGGAAAACATTTTTCATTAGAATGTTATTGCAGATTAGTTCAAGGTTCCTCATTTATAAAATGAGTCCTCATAACATCCTAGCTTGAGTTCAGAAAAGTGGCCATAACTTGATTTCCATATGGTAAACTTTGTTTAAATTTTGAATACAGGTGTACTATAAGGTATATATCTGACCTATGATGTCAATTTTTTAGTTCCTTATAATGCCCATTAGGGTGGTAATACCTTAAATTTCTCCATGAATAAAGTCTCATTGTATTGATATTTAGAGACATGAGCAGCGAAATCATATGGAATCTTTGAACATTTGTTACATAAATGCCCACCAATATAAGATAGAAATACTGCTAAACTATTGGTTAAAATTAAAATATTTACCTTTTTATTGTTTATAGGTAAAAAGATTGAAAAACTGTGTACCAAGCAGTGCAGGCAAAGCCAGTAACCAGTCAGCAGGGAAATTCCAGCAGGGAACCAGTCAGAACAATATGGCAGCAGGAAGTGGAGGTGTGAATAGTAACCAAGCTAACTTCACATCTGGTATAGTTGTATCATTGTCCAGTAATGAAGATCAGGGTACCATAGATGCTCGGCTTGGGGACCAGTCTAGTCAACTGTTACAAGGGAGGAGTGATGTCTGTCCTACAGGTTCTACATCAGAACATGTCTGGTCACAAAATGCAGCTTTTCTTACTTCTAGGTCAAGTCTGGATTTTCCGGACGGATGTAAAAAATCATTTTCAGAAATGTACAGTCAGGTTTTCAATGATGGGCAAATAACATGCTTTAAAAGGCCAAGGCTGGGAAATACCCCACATCCCATAGAAGTGTAATTTGTTATGCATCGATTATTTTTAAAATCCCTTTTTTTTAACCAAAAATTTTTAAAACTGAAAAAAAAATCATGGAAAATCCAAATCCATTCAGCCATTACTATTTTTATTATGGTCAAACTCATCAAGGTTTTTATGTAAAATCCTAAATTTGTTACTTTTTGCCTGAGTGTTATTGTTGTTTAAAGTGAATTGATTTACAATGGGCACATTTTCCATAGATATTTTAAATGTTAATAAAAACAATTCACATCAATATCATTTGGATATTGTTATGTAATATTCTTGAAAGAAAAAGTTGATTTATTTTAAAACAATTTAGCATAAACATTTATATGATGAATGATAATGTTTTGTACTGGAACAAATTATGATCTGCTACATGTATAAAGGATATTTGTTTGTTTTGACAGAATACGCTTTATTATAGCATAATTATATGACACTGAGAAGTTAGAAACTTGTAATATTTTCACAAGCGCCATCACAAGCGCATGGCGCTAGTGAAATTGTGGATATTTTCTTACTTTGATTTGTGATATAAAGTATATTCACAAGAAACCAACAATTTTCTTTTTTATTTTATGCTTTCATTGTAACTTGGGAAAAGCAAATGCTGCACAAACAAAAGTAATTCAAGTCATTTCAAGTTATTTTTGCAGAGTAACTATAACACTTTTAGAGAAATAATGATTTTTGATTAGAGAAATATACATCATACACTTGCATAATATTTTGGTTTTTTAGTTTTGTTATTGTGTATGATACTTAGTACTATCAAAATAATTATGTACGGAATTACATCCTTCCCATTTTGGACTAATTCACTTTAAAATTAGTAAAACAAATAAGTTAATTATTTGGTAATACTAAATGTAAGAATGGAAAATGATTACTTGTCAGTTTATATTTGTTATTTGAGAACACTTAAGATAATTAAATAAAAGTTAATTTGTTAAAGTTTCTACATGTATTCATGATAGGTGAATTATATAAGAATACAAAAATAGGTGAATTATATAAGATACAATAATAGGTGAATTATATAAGATACAATAATAGGTGAATTATATAAGATACAATAATAGGTGAATTATATAAGATACAATAATAGGTGAATTATATAAGATACAATAATAGGTGAATTATATAAGATACAATAATAGGTGAATTATATAAGATACAATAATGTTAGTCAAAGATATTGTGGCAAACAAAAAAGAACAAAAAATCATTGTATTTCAATTTAAAATTTACAAAATTATTGGGGAAATACCTGGGTATTCATAAAGGCTAGAAAGCTAATTAGATGGCAGGATAATATGACATCCTGCATACTCACAGCTTCATAAAATCAATAAAATCTTATGTTGGAACATGACTAACTTATTTGAAAACAATATGTTTCTTATCTTTTTTTGTAAAGTATGTCACCTTACGTCATAACCGTTAGAAGTTGCAGTCAAATTTTTTCCATATTAAAATACAGGAAGCACTAAAAGAAATATACTATGAAAGAGGCCTATTAGTAAACATGATGTTTATAAGAAAGGAATAATTGCATTTTAAATGTCTTGTTAGAATATTTTTAGCTCGACTATTCGATAAGAATAAGTAGAGCTATTGCAGTCACCCGAGCGTCGGCGTCGGCGTAACCACTTATGTTAAAGTTTTTGTAATAGTTCAAATATTTTCAAAGTCCATTGACATATGGTTTTGAAACTTTGCACACTTGTTAACCATCATGACCCCAACCTGTAGACAGGAGAAGGTAACTCTATCAAGCATTTTGACAGAATTATGCCCCTTTTTCGACTTAGAAATTACGTTAAAGTTTTTGTAATAGTTCAAATATTTTCAAAGTCCATAGACATATGGCTTTGAAACTTTGCACACTTGTTCACCATCATGACCCTAACCTGTAGACAGGAGGAGGTAACTCTATCAAGCATTTTGACAGAATTATGCCCCTTTTTAGACTTAGAATTTACGTTAAAGTTTTTGTAATAGTTCAAATATTTTCAAAGTCCATTGACATATGGCTTTGAAACTTTGCACACTTGTTCAACATCATGACCCCAACCTGTAAACAGGAGGAGGTAACTCTATCAAGCATTTTGACAGAATTATGCCCCTTTTTCGACTTAGAATTTACGTTAAAGTTTTTGTAATAGTTCAAATATTTTCAAAGTCCATTGACATATGGCTTTGAAACTTTGCACACTTGTTCAACATCATGACCCCAACCTGTAAACAGGAGGAGGTAACTCTATCAAGCATTTTGACAGAATTATGCCCCTTTTTCGACTTAGAATTTATGTTAAAGTTTTTGTAATAGTTCAAATATTTTCAAAGTCCATTGACATATGGCTTTGAAACTTTGCACACTTGTTCACCATCATGACCCCAACCTGTAAACAGGAGGAGGTAACTGTATCAAGCATTTTTTTTACTATCAAGCACTAAGAATAGTCGAGCGTTGCTGTCCTACTGACAGCTCTTGTTTAATAAAGAAAAAAGTACAGGTACATTTAGAGGCTTTATCTATATAAATTTATTATATACTAGGATATTATTTTTGTCATGAAAATTTTAGCATGATATTTATTGTTTTAAGTAGGTTATTTTTAATGCTAATATGTATAACATTTTCTTCAATGGTTCTTTTATATAGGCACCTGTTAGCTGGGTAGTTCTGTTTCACAGACAGATAGGCACTAATTTTTTTACAACATTTGTTCATTATTGACTTTGTAAATTTATTTTGTTTAAGAGTTTCTTGAAATCTGTTGACATATTAGTAAGATTATTGAATTATTCTTTAAAGGCTCTTTAAGCCCTTTCATTTCTCAAAAATTTCTTTATTTGTTATGCCATATTGTAGTTTCCAATTTTGGCAATGTGTTAAAATATAGTGATTTAGTATTTAGGTCAAAATACTACTTTGTTTAGATTAATGGCTGATAATTTCACATTCAGCTAAAATGCTCTTAACTCATTATTTAAATGATATAAAAATTTATTCATTTCTGAGGCATAATGTGCCTTTAAAGGGACTCAATTGTTTTTTGTTTTTTTGTTTTTTTTTGGGGGGGGGGGGTGCAAACATTTTGGCATACAATGACTGGAAATACTTTTTCAAGATTTATTAACATTTGATGTATGTCTGGACACAAAAATTTTGATCAGATGCTCACTATTTTTTTCCAGAATGATAATTTTAATTGGCAAAAAATGACCCTAAAAAGAAAAGGGTATAAGCATTTAAAACTGTAATCGGGCAAAGAATAAAATGAACATAAGATTTTAAATTAAATTCAATGTATATTTTTTTTATCTTTAGCTTAATGTTGCAGTTAATCTTTCTAGAAGATTCAATATTTATTTTTTTGCTTTTGGATCTCTGGAGTTTTTTTGAAATGTATATCCTGTGAAAACATAAACTCACTTTACATACATATTCAGATGTATTTGTCAGCAAGTTAAGGTCTTACATGCTTTAACAAGAGACAAAAGTAGGAAAAATAAATGTTTGTAATTGAGGTATTTTTTCCAGCAAAAGTTATAGGAGACTAAAATTTATGGCTTGTATGGTTAAGTTCAGTTTCATATATGAACATGCCCATTTTCATGTCTAGTTTGATTCCCACATTACTTTGTTTTATATGAAATACATCTCACAAATTCTAAGTCCCCCTTCTAGAAGGTAGGTAGTACTATCTAGGTTCCACATGTATGTTATATCTCATCCACCTATGTTATATCTCACCCACCATCAACCCAAGTTACTTTCCCCTTCCTATTAAAAAAACACACACAAAAAACACACACAAAAAACACCAAAAAAAACCCAAGGTATTTGCTTTTTTTGTTCATTTTTGATGCCCCCACTTAAAAGAGGGCATTTAGATTTTCCCTTGTCTGTGTGTGTATGAGTTGGTTCCAAAATGTATTGTCATGTGTAGGTCAAAAAATGCTTGAGCTAGAGTCAACAAACTTAACAGGAATATTGATCAATATGTGAAGTTGTGCACATGGGGATTCACATGTGGATTAATTCAATGTTGTTAGAGTTATTGCCCTTCACTCAGTAAAAAGTTGCAATTTTCAACCCGAGTCAGGCATAAAATATCTTGCTTGGGAGTCATGAAACTTTACAGGAATGTTGGTCAGCATTTGTGCATGCATTTGGGGGTTTGCTTAAATGGTTCATAAAATGTTGAGTCACATATACTTTAGCTAGGGTCAATAAACTTTACAGCAATGTTGGTCAGCATGTGTATTTTGCACCTGGGGGTTTGCTTGTGGATTTATTTAGTATTTGAAGAGTTTTTGCCCTACAAAAGCTTGCAAGGGGGGTCATGTAGAATTTCCTTTGTCCGTCAGTTATACTGTCCTGCTGTACGTCAGTACACAGTTGAATATGGGGGCATTTGTGTCCTACCGACACATTTCTAGTTTATAAACATGTTAATGTGCATAGTTTTTTTAGTTGATGATTTTATCCAGATGTTATTTTATTTGCCAAAATGATTTTGAATCAAAATGTTTTTAATTTGTTAGATGATATAGCTATATTGCTTGTATGGTAAACCACTAGTTTTATGTTTATGAATATTAGATGTTGTAAAATGTTGTTATAGATTAAGGTGCAATGCTATAGTTATATAATAAACTGCTGAAATTTTAATCAAACAAATACTTTTTTATATGAGGCAAACCTGTGATAGAACAACATTCCTGTTTATTATATAATGAAAGTTCTATGCTTTATTTATAATCAGCATGTTGCAGACAGGGTATGATTTTATGTCAAAAATTTGACATTTTTTTAGATATTATATTATTTAAATGAGATAAACATTAAATGACTACTACCAGTATATAAATCTTATTGAATTTGACAGACATACAATATAGATATTTTCTTGTTAACATTTTACAGTGGCAACAACATTAATGACTTCCTTTGACAAGAAGTTAAGCCTTAAGTCAGCCATCTCATCTGTGAAGTCTGGTAAGACATATTTATAGGATGCTTAATGTAGTGTTTTGTTCTTGAAAGTCCTAAATTGTAATATTTTGTTTTTGGAAGTCCTTAACCTTTTCCCTTATATAAGCGTGTTTCGACGGCTTCCCCCCCCCCCTCTTTTTTGAGGCCTCAAACAGTGAAAAAATGCCCTATTTAGGCACCAAACACTGTTTTTCATTTGAGAAATGTTGTTAAAAAAAGTGACCACTTTTTAGGCGCCGTCCCCCATCCAAATATTACATCAGGGGGTTGCCAGAACGGGGATGTGCCCCCTTCTGTTTTGGGGGTTTGAAGGGGGGCGGAGTCCCCCTCATCGCCAAGAAAATTTTGGACATGTGACAGGCTAAAATTAAAAAAATGGCCTCTGGTCGATCTTAGGGTAACTAGTAACGGACGCTGAAAAGCCTTTTACTCTATCTCAATTCATTGAGAAGTTGCAGCACTTTGAAATCAGTTTTGATGGAAAAAAAACAATGCAAAATAGTGATTTTTGACAATTTTGAGACGTCCCCCCGTTGCCATGGTAACAGGAAATTTACCATTGAGCATGCTGTTACAGAGGCTATGGTGTAGTCAACATTTGTGCCAAGTTTCATTAGTATTGAAGCATTTTTCATAGTTTCATAGCAGTTTGAACTTGTTACAGGAGGCTTTTCAATGAAAACGGCCATTTTTCGCAATATGCTCATGTGGTAAAAGGTTAATTATAATATTTTATTTTTGAAAGTCCTAAATTTTAATATTTTGTTTTTTGGAAGTCCTAAATTATAATATGATTTGTTTTTTGGAAGTCCTTAATTATAATATTTTGTCCTTGAAAGTCCTAAATTACAATATTTTGTTCTTGAAAGTCCTAAATTGTTTGTTTTTTCTTGAAAGTCCTAAAGTTTACTTTGGAAGACAAACTTTGACTAAGAAGTCTGTCACTCAAATTTTGAAACATTTTGTTATAATATTTGATTAATCTTTTTGCTGCCTACATGAAAGGTTAGCCCCAGTACAGTACAGGTATTTGCCTGCAAAAAAAAAATACATGTCTGGTTTGATTTATTTATCTTTTTTTTTGGGGGGGGGGGGATGGTGCATATTTATTCATTTATTCCCCTATCGTTTTAACTGGAGGGGACTTTAATTCTGCCCACCATTCATCTGTCCACACTTATGAGAGGATACTTATGTGGCTACAGGCACAATAGGTAACAGTACTTTTTCTTCGAGGTCATTCATTCGGTAAGCTTTTATGTGGCAAAGTTCTTTTATGTGGCTAAAAAGAACAATAGAGAGAACAATAGAGTAGCCACTTAAGTACTATCTCAGTAGAACGTCAGCCAGTCTGCACTATTGAATAAGGATATTTTGGGTCCATCTTACACTGCCAGCCAGAAACTCATATTTATTTAATTGTCCCCTTTTAGGTGCCTCTAGAGCTAAAAACAGAAAAAAAACTACTTCTTCTACTGAACTAATTGATGGATGATCACTAAACTTTTTCTGCAGCATTCGTAGGTAGTCTTTTATCAAATAGGCTCATATTGATGGGCCCCTTTTAGGGGCCTCTACAGCTAATATTAGAAAAACCTTAAACATCTTCTTCTACTTAACTAATTGCTGGATGATCACCAAGCTTTGTCTGTAGCATTCTTTGGTAGTCTTTTACCAAATTTGCACATATTTAATTGATTGGCCCCTTTGATCTATACTTTGTGAAAGAGCACATATGACAAAACGGACATGTTGAATTATTGTAACATGTTTTAGCTCATTTTCAACATGCCTGTCTTAAGTTATATAGTTTCACAACACTGATTGTTTTCTTTTCTTCATAATAAAAAAGGAAGTTTTCTTTTCTTCATAATAAAAAAAGGAAGATTTCACAAATTGTTATTGTACATGTTTAGTTTTAATTGACCTTGACTGCTAAGTCAAACTAATGAAACTTTGTTATTTATTTTCATATTTGATTTATACTTGGACAAAAACACATGTGACACAACTGACATGTACTTGGACAAAAACACATGTGACACAACTGACATGTACTTGGACAAAAACACATGTGACACAACTGACATGTTGAATTTCCAAATATGATGTTTACTGTCTAGACAAAAATATTAAATAAAGCAAATACTATCATACCATTTTTAATAATTTATGGATTGGGTAAATACTGAAAAATAAACAGGAAATATTTTGACAATTTGAAAAAAATGAGAAGACATTTACTTATAAATGACCTTGGCTGTTGACATTCAAGTATTGTATTTGTCATTACCTTGATTTGATTTATTTTTAGACAAAAGAACACTTATTACAAAGCTGACATGATGATTAATTTAAATATGACCTTGATCTTTGAATGATATCGACTGTCAAGGTCATATTATTTAATTTAGCGGAATTTTTTTTATTAATTATAATTTATTATAAAGGCCAGATTTGATTCAATGAAAAAAAATTACTAGGACAAGCAATGATAACACTAACATGTTTAATAGTTTCAGAATGACCATGTCTGTAAATGACCAAGACTGTCCAGATCGAAATTTGAATCATAGTTTGTACAAGAAAATGAAGTTTTCTAGGCGTATTCTTTACTGTAATATTTTTCCTCCATTGTGTTTTGACAAATTGAGCATAGCCCTGCTTGATGATGGTTCTTGTTTTTCCTTCCTATGTTGAAAAATCTGGTTTCAAAGACATCATATAGACTTAAAATATTGCAAAAATAGTGACATATTTTGACCCATTTTATACATTAAAGACATCATATAGACTTAAAATATTGCAAAAATAGTGATAATTATTTTGACCCATTTTATACATTACCTGAATAAAATATTTTCTAATGAATCTGGAAACATTATTACATCATACACATCATGATGTGGGGAACCAATTTAACCTGTGGGTACTCTAGAATATTGAAGTCATGTCTGAACAATCATCAACAGAATATTTAACTGTCATCTACCTCATGAAGATCTAAAACATGACCAAACTATTGTGAATTCACACATTGACAGAACCTTGGGTAACATGCTACACAAATTACCCATTAGAACACAAGAATAGTATTAATATGAAAACAAAGGAAGGATTAGCTGTTTTCCACAAGTCATCATTTGTTGCAGCAAAAGTTCCTGTTTTTGAACATCTGGAGAAACGGCAGTAAAGTTTCAACCAATGACGGTGATGTCTGTGTAATTGTACCATCTTCATCACTTAGAGTGACTTCTAGCTTTGCTTCATGCTTTGAGCACCAAGATGTACCTTCTGATTATTGGTGACTTAATTCAGTCTCAGCGTTTCTCTGAGTGCATAAAAGTCCGAGAAAGAACCATTAAAGGGCGGCTTCATACAGTTGGTCGAGCAGCCTACCCATGAACAAGGATCTGTCTTTACTTACCATCCAATTGGAAATTGTTGCTTAGCTTACATTCTTTTGCACTATGCAGACTAACATCTCTGTCCTTGTCAGAATCTGAAGTATTTAAGTCCTCTGGAAATACCAATACTTAATTTTGCAGGTAAATACTTCAATATATATTTTATTATACCAACATCTTTTGATTATCTGCTGTATAAACATAATTTCCTTATTAGGAAGGAAAATGGTACACACATAACAGTGTTACAGACAATTCCTGAAAATTACCTAAGAACTCAAACATTATTTATGTCTTTATGGAATGGTCATGACCCTTCAGAATGTTGCTGACACTTCTTTTGAGGTTCTTACCAGTAGGGGACTTTTGTATTGCCTGCAATACATTGATAATTGCTTGTACACTTAAACCTTTTTTATGCTCACTAGCATTAAATGAAATAAAAAAAAAAAATCCTGACAATCACAAATATTTAGTAAGACAAATATATAATGTTTTATCACTCAAATGCTGTCTTTGAGAAGTATAATTGTTCGGTGGAGGGAACCTAGGCACAGAACACTTTAATGTTTTAGCAAAGGAAAAATGTTGAAAGTAATGTCCAAGCCTGAGTAACACAATTACAAGTGGGCTAGAAAATACTGTTTACAGACTTGAATGATATATTTTTGACATTAAGTACAGTATTTCCTCTATAATTAGATCTTGTTTTGTTTTCAAAGGCTCATCATCATCCAACTCATCACTTCAAGTGAGCTCCATTCAGCCAGGAACTTGGATCTGTAATATATGTCTTATACAAAACAAGAAAGATGATTCAATATGTGGCGAATGTAAGGCTGCAAAATCAGCATGTAAGTAATAATTGTGTTGAGCCCCATGATTAATTTCCCTTATATATGATAATATAATATAATGTCAATCCCCTAACAAAAATAACAGTGAGAAAATGTATATATGTCTCTTATTATGTTACAAAAAAAAAAATTCTTACTACTTTTCTTTCAGTAGATAGTGAGTAATATATGTTGAGAATTTCACAGGGAAATTAATCTTTATACTCATGCACAACAAAGTTGTAAGTGGGGTATAAGGGAATTAGCTGTTCCGTCTGGCTGTCCGCCCAGTTTTTGCTTGTCCGCACAATAACTAAAGAATCCTTTGACCCACGGTCTTCATATTTGGCATGGAGGTTAGTAATGATAAGTAATAACCCCTAATGATTTTGAGGTCACCAGGTCAAGGTCACAGGGGCCTTGACTAAAAAAAGGCTTGTCAGCCCAATAACTTAAGAATCCTTTTTACCCACAGTCTTCATATTTGGCCTGGAGGTTTATCATGATAAATAAATGACCCCTATTTATTTTGAGGTCACCAGGTCAAAGGTCAAGGTCACAGGGCCTTGACTTCAAAAAGGCTTGTTCGCCCAATAACTTAAGAATCCTTTGACCCACAGTCTTCATATTTGGCATGGAGATTAGTCATGGTTAGGAAATGACCCTTACATATTTTGAGGTCACCAGGTCAAAGGTCAAGGTCAAAGGGGCATTGACTGAAGAAAGCTTGTCTGCCCAATAACTTCAGAATCCTTTGACCCACAGTCTTCATATTTGGCATGAAGTTTAATCATGATTAGTAGATGACCCTTACATATTTTGAGGTTACTGGGTCAAAGGTCAAGGTCACAGGGACTTCAACTGAATAAAGCTTGTCTGCCCAATAATCTAAGAATCCTTTGACCAACAGTCTTCGTATTTGGCATGGAGGTTAGTCACTTCCATTTAGTGACCCATGTTGATTTTGAAGTCAATGGGTCAATGGTCAAGGTCACTGGTGCCTTAACTACAAAAGCTTGTCTGCTCAGTTGCTAAAGAATGCTTTTGTCAACAGTCTCATGTTTGGTATTGAGGTTGGTTATGGCTAGTACATGACCTGTACTGATTTTGAGATCACTAGGTCAAAGGTCAAGGTCAGAAGGACCTTGACTAAAGAAAGCTTATCTGCCTAATCACTTAAGAATCCTTTGACCCACAGTCTTCATATTTGGCTTGGAGGTTGATCATGACCATTGAGTGACCCCTATAGCTTTTGAAGTCAGTGGGTCAAAGGTCAAGGTCACAGGGGTCTTTAACTTGTATATTCAAGTCATACAGTGGCAGTTTCAGTTTTGAGGTCAGTAGGTCAAAGGTAAAGGACACTTTGATCTTTGCCACTAAAAACATGTAGAATACATAACTTAGCAATGCACTGGCTTTTTGGCTTGGAGGTCGTCCTTGAGCTCTAAATGACCACTGTTGATTTTGACAAAGTGGTATGCTGGGGTATTAACATCATGACAGTGGCAGTTCTAGTTACCGTAGTTCAACACTTTGTCATATATGTAAAATATGCTTGATTACAAGAGCAACATACATGATACTTGCTCATATCATGTTGAACTTTGTCACAAAATACATGAATTCTTATTGAATTGACATTGACATGCATGACATTTGTGGAAATAAATCTGCCTGAATAACTCAAAGCAAGTAAAAAAATAGATAGAATAGGTGTTTGTTTTACACTTATAAAATAAATAATAGTTGTTTATTTACAGTCATGGCTTTTCACTCCAGAAAAATCTGCATCAGGTGTTCACTTTGAAATATATATCAATATATCATGCAAAACAAATATCCTCTGTGAATGCCAAGTACTTTTTAAGATGTTACAGTTTTAAAAAAAAATTGTGTAACAGGTGATTTATTTGGGTTTGGTTCAACTGTACATGTATGTAAAACATATTTTCTTAATTTAAGAAATATTTAACAAATATTTTATTTGTGTTTACAGCCAAGCCTAGTGAATTAAACAAATCAGACAGTTTGTTTGATAAGTTCAAGCTAGCTGCTGGAAGTTGGGCGTGTGATGTTTGCCGAATACAGAACAAGTCTGATGACAATAAATGTGTGGCATGTCAGACCCCTAAACCTCTCACGCTCTTTAAGCATCCCCCTGTTGACTGGATATGTAATGGATGTCTGAGCAACAACAAAGCATCAGCTGTAAATTGTGAAGAATGTAATAATGCACGACCAGGGCCACCTTGTACACAAGCAGGTTTGTAATTATGTTAATTTATATAAATCTTGAAAGTTGTTTGTTTGTGTACACAGTTACATGTAAGTAATTTAACATGTACCACAATCAGAAAAAAGTTATAAATTATGAATAATTATATAATATGCCTGTTCCTGATCCAGCAGTTGATTGTGAAGTGGTTACACCCAAGTGTATCAGAAGTAAAATTTCTACCAAGAAAGCAGGTTGTTGAGTAGATGGCTCATTGTAACTGTTTGATAAAGACAAATATATTAGGAGATGAAGTATGGTGGGGGTGTCTGTGGCTGAGTGGTTAAGGTTGTTGACTTCAAACCACTGTGTGTTTGAATCATGACATGGACTTTGGATTCATTCATGTGAGGAATATATATTTCTGAATAGCTTACCTAATGGTTCTACTCAGATACCTTGTTGTGTTTGAAATAATGCACAGAATAGTCACCATATGACCTTTACAGTGTGTTGTTCTGACATTAAACTAATCAAAAAAAGTGTCTGTCAAGATCGAATAAATTATGGAACGGTGTGAACTTTAAAACAAATGAAAGTAACATCTGATTGCAAGAGTTCTTTGTTAATCAAAAATGCTTTTAACACATTTTGATTGGTCACTGACAGAGAATTGGTAGAATAAGAATGTGCAGAATTTGACCTAAAGAGATTATCATAGATACCATGCTCTGTCCTTATCTTTTGTCAGGTGTCTCTTTCTGTTATCTATCTCACCTGTTGGCTTTGTGTTCTTCTGCTGATTTAGATTGTAGTAAGATTTATGCATTATTTTTTAGAAAGCTGCATACATGTCAAAATACTATTTAAAACACAATGTCAAGCTACTGATATTTTCTTCCATTCAGTTATAACCTTTGCCGAAGTGTGTGTTGTTTTCTTTGTCACAGTGTGTTGTTTTCTTTGTCACAAAGTGTGTGTTGTTTTCTTTGTCACAGTGTGTTGTTTTCTTTGTCACAAAGTGGGTGTTGTTTTCTTTGTCACAGTGTGTTGTTTTCTTTGTCACAAAGTGGGTGTTGTTTTCTTTGTCACAGTGTGTTGTTTTCTTTGTCACAGTGTGTGGTTTAAATTCTTTGCCACAAAAGGTGTGTTGTTTTCTTTGTCACAAAGTGTGTGTGTTGTTTTCTTTCCCACAAAGTGTGTGTGTTGTTTTCTTTCCCACAAAGTGTGTTTTGTTTTCTTTGTCACAAAATGTGTGTTGGTTTCTTTGTCATAAAGTGTGTGTTGTTTTCTTTGTCACAAAGTGTGTGTTGTTTTCTTTGTCACAAAGTGTGTGTTGTTTTCTTTGTCACAAAGTGTGTGTTGTTTTCTTTGTCACAAAGTTTGTGTTGTTTTCTTTGTCACAAAGTGTGTGTTGTTTTCTTTGTCACAAATTGTGTGTTCTTTTCTTTGTCACAAATTGTGTGTTCTTTTCTTTGTCACAAAGTGTGTGTTGTTTTCTTTCCCACAAAGTGTGTGTTGTTTTCTTTGTCACAAAGTGTGTTCTACGTTCTTTGTCACAAAGTGTGTGTTGTTTTCTTTACCACAAAGTGTGTGTTGTTTTCTTTGTCACAAAGTGTGTGTGTTTTTTTTTTGTCACAGTGTGTTGTTTTCTTTGTCACAAAGTGTTGTTTTCTTTGTCACTATGAATAATGGTATGCTATTTTATTTGATAGTTTAATTGCCAGCAAGTTAAATGTGCCCTAAAGACAAGATTCAAAAGAAATAAACTTGTCTAAATTAATGTCTTTGTAAAAGATGGTCTAGTCATCACTAATGTTAACAGTGAACATGTACTGATTCTAAGAATATAATAAGAATCAAGTAATTTATTGAATGAGAAATATTATAAGCAATTGTTGAAAAGTCATTAAATACTTTTGACAACTTTGACTAAATCTTTTAACAAAAGTAAATTTTGGGTAATTAAAATTAATGTTTTTGTAGGAGTGTTGGGGAATACCAGTCAGTCAATGGCACCATCTAGCCCTGTGTTTCAGGTTGGTGCAAAGGTAAGTCTGTCATCCTGTTTTAGTCCACAGATATTGATAAAGGATTAGACATTAGTCTATGATTTAAATGTATAGAGAAATGAAATAGCTACAGTTTTAAGAAATATTTCAACTTGCAGAAGCTATTCTTCAGCAACCAGTTTAACATTAGTATGTTTGTTTATTTATATAGATAAGTATATTAGTTTTTCATAGATACAACATTTGCCAACTATTGTAGGAGTCAACCTCAAATGTATTCTGTTATGAAATGAGGCCAAGCAGTTTAAGTGTGTACGTTATGTATTATAATTGGCTTATCCAATCAATTAGTGTGTTTAGTATTTTTCAGTTACACCTTTCAAATAATTTGTATTTCATTACATTTCAGTTGACAGAATCTACACCAGCTGTGACCTCTGTAGGATTTAAAGGACCAGTCTGTCCTCCAGTAAATGCCTCAAGGTTTGATCATAAATTGATATTGTGTTAACTTTATTGGAGTAGATTAAAAAATGACTAGCCAGTTTTCATGAAGAAAAAAATCTAGGCGTTGAAAAAAATCTCGGTTTTGATTACAAAAGATGCTTATGATTGAAGATTTTTTTTATTAATAATTTGTTTGATATTTCTTCTGGAGAAAGAAAGAAAAAGGGTCACACCAATGAATGTGACATGAATTTGATGATTTATCAGACACACTTATTAATCATGTATCACATATTATTACTTGGCTTCAAATAGAATGCAACATTGAAAGATATTAGATGATGTAAAAATCTTTCAGCATCATAGTTTATCGAATTTTATATAAAATTCAACAAAGAATTGTGTTTGATTAATATTAATTTTGTAGGTCTTATAATGCATGATTAGTATTATATAATGAACTTTAGTATCATGAGTATGTTTTTTTTTTGGTGCCATTGTACCTACATACATACATACTACATACATACTACATACATACTACACACACACACACGCATGCACACACACACACGCACACGCACGCACGCACACACACACACACATAAAATGTAAAGGAAGTAAGAATTGAATAAGAAATACTTCCTCTACATTATTTAGATCATCATTTGATGCTCTTATTTTCAGTGCCACTAGACCTAGCACACCCTCTGATAGAAAAATACTGAAAGGAGTCCGAAAAATAAGATTATGATCAAGATTGCAGTAATGGTTACAGCCTATGACAGCAGCGTAGGGCTTGGGCAGTCCACTTTAACATGTTGTTCAGAGGCTCTCTGTTGTTTGTTGCTCAATTATGTATTTTGAAACTTAAACATTTCACAATGGATCATTTGATAGTTCTGAAATTTGAGTATAATAAGTCAATTACATTTAATGATGTAAATGTATTTAAATACTTAATTTTAGACAAAAAAAAATAGTTACATTTTCTTAAAATAGATCACTGTTTTATGTTTAAGATTGACAGGCTTACAGAAGCAATTTATTGTTCAAACAATCTAATGACATTTTACATTCATTTCTTACATGAAAATAATTAAATTATGTGATTGTTACATATTAAGGTATTACCATCCTAATGCATTACCTCCGCTTTGAAGAGTATTCAAATAGGCTAGAACTACTGTTTACTACATTGAGAATGAGGGCCGTGGGTTCAATCCCCAGAAGGGTCAACTTTTTTTTTTCTTTCTTTTTTTCTTTTAACATTATTTATGTATCTCTCATGTCCCAGTTGGAAAGAAAAAATTGTTTAATTTTTATTTTTTAATTTAATTAGGTATTTATTGGCTAAATTATGTTAAATCTAGTAAAAAATATGGTACCTGATATTTTCAAAGTGTAATAAAATCAGTAGGAAAATGGTCAGACACGTGGTAAAAATGGGTGGGGTAGGGTAACATTTTTATACAGATTTCATAAATTTTAAGTAGAAACCGTAATTTTGCTTATGTGGATTGTTAGCTGAATGGTACTATTTGTTTCTTACCAAAAATTAATGGGAAAACATTTTTCATTAGAATGTTATTGTAGATTATTTAAAGATTCCTCATTTCTAAAAAAGGGCCCTCATAACATCCTAGGTTGAGTTCAGAAAAGTGGCCATAACTTGATTTCCGTACGGTAACCTTTGTTTAAATTTTGCATACAGGTGTACTTTAAGGTATATATCTGACCTATGATGTCAAATTTTTAGTTCCTTATAGTGCCCATTAGGGTCGTAATACCTTAAATATAGAAGTAAATTCTACAATTTTCTTCATGTAATGATGTAAATTTATTATGAAATAGTGATAATATAGTGCTTTATGTTGGTTTTCTTTGAAAGTGTTTGTGACATCATGCTTGTACTATTTGTGTTTTTATATTTCTTACTCATTTTATATGGATTATTGCTAGATTGTTGTATCGCTGTCTGGTAAGACAGTTTTGCATTTACATGTTATTTTTTTAATTCATTAGGTATTAAACAAAATTGTGTAAAGCAAAACCCAGTGTCATTTGGCAATCTAATTGTCTTGGACAGTTTTTGTGTAGTGAGTGTTTGTAGCAGTTTATTTGGCCACTGACAATGTATTTTGTTAATTAGTAAGGTAGAATGCTGTGCATGTCTTTACTGTTTTAGATATATCTTTATTAAAGCATTTCTTAGAGTCTTATAAATATAAACATTCCTATTTAATCTATGTTCAATTTTTTAGCTCGACTTTTCTATGAAAAGGGGAGCTATCCTACTCGCCCCGGCGTCGGCGTCGGCGTTAGCGTTAGCGTCGGCGTTGGCGTCACACCTTGGTTAAGTTTTTCGTACCACCCCACTTTATTTCAGAAGTATTACAAGTATGGCTTTGAAACTTACCATACTTGTTCACCATCATAACCTCCATCTACAGACAAGAGTACATAACTCTGTCAAGGTTTTTGACAGAATTATGGCCCTTTTTTGACTTAGAAAGTGTATTGAGCTTGGTTAAGTTTTTTGTACCACCTCACTTTATTTCAAAACCATTGGAGGTATTGCTTTGAAACTGACCATACTTGTTTACCATCACGACCTTCATCAACAGACAAGAGGACATAACTCTGTCAAGGTTTTTGACAGAATTATGCCCTTTTTGACTTAGAAAATACATTGAATATGGGTAAAATCCACTTATTGCCTTAACCCTTTGAGATATTGCTTTGAAACTTTTAATGCTATTTCACATCATTACCCCCATCTGTACGCAAGAGAAGGTAACTCTGTCAAGGATTTGTTTTAAAAATTAAGGCCTTTTATCGACTTAGAATCTTGGTTAAGTTTTTAGTACCAGTCCACTTTTTGACTGAACTGTTTGAGATATTAATTTGAAAGTTGGAATACTTGTTTACCATCATGGTCCCAAAACATGGGCAGGAGAAGGTAATTCTGTTAAGGATTTTATTTGAATTATGGCCCTTTTTGACTTAGAAACTCAGTTAAGATTTTCATTCTTGTCCACTTGTTGACTTAACCATTTGAGATATTACTTTGGAAGTTGGAGTTCTTATGTGCCATCATGAGACCTATCTGTAAGCAAGAGAAGATAACTCTGTGAAAATGTTTCTTGATTTGTACTTAGAAATTCCTAGTTAAAGTCTTGTGTGCCCTTAACTGTCAAAGTTTTGTTTTATAGGCAAGCACTAAAAAAGTCGAGCGCGCTCTCCTTCTGACAGCTCTTGTTGTTATACATTGTTGTTATCTTGGTTTTTAGTTTTTTCCCTTTCATTTTGAATTATATTTTCAAAGTTGTATTGCTTCATAGTGATTTAGACAGAAGTGAATGATACTGAAGGCTGGGGACTGGTCCCATTTATTTGGTAGTATTTTTGATGCCATGTAAGTCTTTTAAAGTGTATAAAGCTATATCTTTGGTGTTACTATTGGATGTCAAAAATATTGTTAATAAATATTATAATTAAAATAGCTACAAAAACTGTAAAACAAAAGAAATATGTCCATATATTTTAATGAAAGCGAGTGGAACATGTGTTATATAATGGCTAAACCAACTAAAATAGTAGGGGGAATATTTTGTTCCGGAAGATTTTATTCTGATTTACGTACAATTTATTAATGTATGTTAAATAACAGGGGAATTCTATGTAACAACTTTTTTGAGATATAATCGTTAGGATATAAAAACAATATGTATTTACCGCTTTTAAATCTTTGCAATTTTTTTCAGCAGATATAGCTTTATACCCTTTAATGCCTCTATATTTCTCATAACACAATAACTGTTGATGATTTATGAAATGGGAAAAGAAATTAGTGGGAGAAAGATGGGAGAAAGGGTTCATTTTTTTTTATTAAAGGGAAATAATGTTTACTAAGAATAAAAGTATGAAAATCTATTAGATTTTAATCCTGAACACTTGAAGTTCTGTAAATTTGTTATGTTTTTTGTTATACTGTTGTTGAAAGACCAATATTGTCTATAAATTTTACAAAAATATGATAAATGTAGATGCTGTAATATCATAGCAGATCATGTATAGAGGATATTGAATGAGTGTAAGTTCAATACTGAATTTATTGCACAAGTTGAATAAAATCATATTATGTGAGCCTCTGGCGAGCATAATATTATTTTATTCAACGAGTGCAATAAATTCAGTATTATGAACTTACCCGAATTTAATATTCTATTTATCACATACCAAAAATAAAGACCGTTTAAAGTGAAATAAGAGTCATATATCATTGACGCGCCTATAGTATTACGTTAACATTTAGCGCGTCTTTACACTATGTTTGTATAACGCTAATGACGTCACGTCAAAATATATGCACGGCCGTGCAATACCATATTTATGGAGTCGCAAAATCGGCACGGGTGTTTGATAAAAAAGTTTATGTGTTAGTGGATTGATCTACAATGGGCACATTTTTCAAAAGTGTGTCAAATATATACCGGTATTTAAAAAAAAAAGAGAAAAAAAGAAACAAAAGAAAAAAAATAGAAATGTTTCATTAGGATATTCTTATAAAGTATTTCTTATTGATACGGTTTCTAAGGATTTAGTATAAACATTCATATCATGAATTATACCATTTTATTCTTGAAAACTTTATTGTATCATAGTTTGGATACCTTGGTATTGAAAATGTGTCAAGATTTAAATACCCAAACATGCACAGTCTGTCCATTCTCATGTTGAGTCACATGTAGCTCTAAAAGTGCTTGAGCTAGAGTCAACAAAATTCATAGGAATTATCAGCATTTGAAGCTGTGCACTAGGGTTTTGCTTGTGAATTTAGTTTTCAGTTTGTCAGAGTTATTGGTCTTGACTTTAAAAAATGGCATTTTTCAACTTTTGATATGCATAGCCCAAAAAGAATTTAGTCATGAAACTTGATAAAATGTTGGTCAGCATGTGTATTTGTGCATCTGGGGGTTTATGCATGTGAATTAATTCTGTATTTGTAGAGTTATTGCCCTTGGCTAAGTAAAGAGTTGCAATTTTCAACTTGTGTCGTGCATAGCCCAAAAAGTATTTGACCTACAGTCACGAAACTTCACAGAAACGTTTGTCAGCATGACTGTGTAGTTGAGCACCTGGGCATTTACTTGTATATTTATTCAGACTCTGTAGAGTAACTGCCCTTGACTGAGTAAAAATCGTTCAAAATTGTTGTGTTGTATGTACCTCTTAAAGTGCTTGACCTAGAGATGTTGATGTGAGGCTGTGCACCTTGTATTTACATGTGGGTTTTGTTAGAGTTATTGCCATTGACTTATTATAAATTTGCAATTTTCAACTTGTTTTTGCATAGCTCAAAGAGTATTTGACCTGCAGTCGTGAAAGTAATGTTGATATGTGTTGTTATAAACCTTGGGTTTGCTTGTGGATCTGTTATTTATTTGTAGAGTTTTTGCCCTTGACTTGGGAAAAGTTTTGCAAGTTTCAACTTGTGTCGCACTAGTGTTACCCATACTCCACAGCATGCCCATTGATTGGTTCATTTTTTTCTGGGGTTTACTTTTTGTGATGACAAAGAAAGGAATAACAATAGAAATGTCACATTCAAATGATCGTTCATTGGTTACTTTTTATCTTGGGTTTTATATTGTGATAACAGGGAATGTATTTTAATTTTGCCTATGATACAAAAGAGAAAGAGCATCGAAACATGGGGATATCTGATTTATACGAGGGACTTTTACTTATGCTTGTTACAATATTATTTATAATAAATTTATTCATTGATAATGAATCAAAAAGGAAAGTTATTGGTTTTAACTAAAGTAATGAATTCTTGATGCGAAAATTTCAAAAATATGTTTAAAAGTCTTCATTATTATTTTTATAGGACACAATATTTTGTTAAAAAGTTGCACAGGATAATAGGTGTGAAATTTCAACTTAATATTTTGATAAATGACAAATAGATCTACATGGAGCTAATTATGGTTTGGAAAATAAATTATTTTTCTAACTATTTTGATGTGTTTGTTTGAATTTTTTACTGATGTCATGTCTTCAAAGTACAGCAACAGCATCTAAAATATATATAGTAGTAGTACAATGAGTCTACCGTTATTGAAATATATTTGTAATATATTTACAAATTGCTGAAGAGGGATAAAACTTCCCTGGTTTGATTTCCAGAAAGGAAAATTTATGATAAACTATATATATTTATAGTTCACTCAATACATGCAATAGTTGCGGTGTCACTAAAACAAGGCAAAAGCTTAATAGTGTTGTTTTCTTGATTTCGAAAAATATTTCGACCAATTTGATTGTCTATGCATAATTTAGCAAAAGAAATAGGGCAAAATGAAAACAAAGTAAGAGAAAACAGACTTTGTACAAATTACAAGTTAAGCAAGGTAGAAAATGAATTTCACATTTTGTCCAAAATATAGTAAAGTCGAAAATACTTACAACCATATTATTGTTGCAGGCCATCAAAATTTATACATTAAAATTTTTACTTTTTTAAGGTCTATATTACATATTATCAAATGT